GTAGAGAGAACAGGAATTTGGGATTGGTCGATTTAATTACCCAAGGATCGTGTGCCAAACAAGTATTTCTCATTTATAGCCGTTTTACTCGATTTTTGATGTCTTGATTGTAATTTCAGTATCTCTTTTCATCTCCCCAATTCCTTTCTTCCCTTTCTTGTAAATTTTCACTTCCTGTTTCCTTTCAAAAATTGCTATACTTCCTGTGAATTTGGCCCGATTATCTGCTTTTAAAATAGAATCGAATTGGAAGATTGAATTGAAGAAAGTGCAAAGCGTTTCGGTTAAGAGAAAAACGCTGTTGACCAACAAAGTAAAGTAATCGGTTTAACAATTGAAAGCCACGCGGTCAATGTTTCTTTTGCAATGTTCAATGTTCGTTTCTTTTGCATTTACTAACGATTTCCCAATGCCCAACTTCTCGGCTATTCAATCTTGAATTTCTCAACTGCTTTTTGCTTAACAAGAATAGTTGAATTTATAGCAAAACAGCAAATTTATGGGGAAAATTGTTTGAAAAAATTTGAGCATGGAAATTAAGCGCTAGAAATGCTTTTAGAAATCGCGTGGAATAGTCATTTTTGTAAACTGTTTTCACCAAAAACTCGAGGCAACTTTGAGCTTTTAAATGAGCACGAAGATCAAACGAATTCACCATCTTTCCTCCGTCCAATTTATAGCTGTTTTGTAGTCTCGTATGAGCACTACAAAACTGGGAAAAGCTGAGAAAAACTGGGAAAAACGGAATTTGAGAGGTAGCTTTGATTGACCTTTTATAAAACTCGCCAATGTCTTTTGCTTTGCTTTTTCTGATGCGAACTATTTGGAATTTTTGGATATTGATGGGTTTTAAGATGTCCTAATGCGGAAAATCGACTTCTAGATTCTTGCATTTCGCTTGATGATCAGCTAGCCCCTTTTTTCCTTGATTTTGGAGATGTTTTGAAATCTGTCTACGAAAGTTACTCTACTTGATGTCCTGATGCAAAAAATCGACTCCAGATTTACACATTCCCGAATTTATTGTTGTCTTTTTAGTTATTGTAATCTTTTTAGTTATTGTAATCTTTTTAATTATTGTAATCTTTTTAGTTATTGTAGTCTTTTTTTTACTTTTGATAAAGGATTTGAAAGGAAGATCCTAAGAGATCGATTTGAAGAGATTTGAAGAGATTTGAAGAGATTTGAAGAGATTTGAAGAGATTTGAAGAGATTTGAAGAGATGTGAAGAGATCTGAATTGATCTGAATCGATCTGAATCAATTTGAAGAGATCTGAATCGATCTGAATCGATCTGAATCGATCTGAATCGATCTGAATCGATCTGAATCAATTTGAAGAGATCTGAATCGATCTGAATCGATCTGAATCGATCTGAATCGATCTGAATCGATCTGAATCAATTTGAAGAGATCTGAATCGATCTGAATCGATCTGAATCAATTTGAAGAGATCTGAATCGATCTGAATCGATCTAAATCGATCTGAATCGATCCGAATCGATCTGAGTCGATCTGAGTCGATCTGAATCAATGTGAAACGACCTGAATGGGTTTGAAACCATTCGAAACGATCCGAATCGATCTGAATCAATCTGAAGAATCAAGAGCTTGATCAGCATTATTCTCTTAATTTAGCAGCTATAACAAAATGCCTAAACGAGATCAAGAAAGTCGAAAGGAAAATCGAAATAAGAATAATCATTTTGATGTTTAAATAATGAAAAAACTTTCAAATCTGTCTTTTGTTTATTGTTCGAAATTCGAAAATTCCCCTTATTTATTGGAAAGTAACTTTTTCGTGACTCTTGAAACTCATAATTTTCACGTGTTTTTCCCTCAGAAGATTTCTCTAATTTGTGGTTTCTTTTAGCTTTTCTGGCACATGATTTGAAGAGGATTGTCGTCAGAAAACTGTCAAATTGCTTTCTTTTTAATGTTTAAATCATTTTGAGTTTAAAAATTTGAGAAAATTCGAAACTCAGCACGTTTAAAAAAGGTTATTTATTCAAAAATTCTCATTTTTACTTTAATACCGTATTTCTTCGAATAGAAGACCGGGTAAAGAGTATGATCGCGTACTCCTGCGTAGCAGCCCTTTCTTAAATTTCTTTTCTGCATAAAAGCTTTCAATCAAGTGCTATAGAGCTGGAAAATGGCTCAAAAATCTGTTAGCTCATGTGGTATTTTCGACAAATCAGACCTCGCTGACACGTCAAATTTGGGCTAAAAGGCAAAAACTACGCAACTTAACGCTTTTCCGCAGTTTTTGCCTTTTAGCCCAAATTTGACGCGGCAGCGAGGTCTGATTTGTCGAAATTCGGAATCTACGCATACGATTCCCTTATATTGAAATATTTTCGAAGCTCTACGGCCTTTCCTAAGGCCTTTTCCAGCAAAAAAAAGGTGCGCAAATGTCCAGGTGCGCAAAAAAAAGATCGCATTTGTCCCACCCCCCTAATTTGCGCCAATTTCATCCCTAATTTGTTAATTATTATATCAAATATTGAAAGCCCTTATTCTTAGCTACATTTATCTCTTAAAAGTTTCCCGATTGAAGATATACAAATCCTTTTAAAAGCCATTAGAAAATCGCAGTTTTGGATCAACGAACACTCGTTCAAGAGCTTGTAAAATGATTTGTATATCTTCAATCGGGAAACTTTTAAGAGATAAATGTAGCTAAGAATAAGGGCTTTAAATATTTGATATAATAATTAACAAATTAAGGTTTAAATTGGCGCATTTTCCAGCAAAAAAAAGGTCGCATTTGTCATTTTTGAAAAAGAAAAAAAAGGGAAAAGAAAAAAACTCAAATCTAGAAGTAAATATGCTAAAATTGAATGAAGAAAGATGAATTTGCATTTAAAAAACAATTTTTATATTGATTTATTAGCTTTACTGGCTGAATATTTCAAATATTTCAAATATTTCAAGGAAAAAAAGCCAAGAATCTTTTCAAAAAGCAATTTTTTTCCAAAATTTTCCATAATATTTCATCTCTTTTTTCTTCAGTGAAACCCTCAAATTTGCCGATTTTTTTTTCGGCAGATTTGCGTGCCTCTTCATCAAACGCAAATTGACTAATTTTAGATGTAATATCTCAAAAACAAAAACCCTATATTCTCTATAAAAAATGAGAAAAAAAATAAAAGCGAAATTCATTCGAGAAATTCAAAGTTTTTTCGAAATTTTTCAAATTTTTTCGATTTTTTTCATAAAATTTTTACAATATTTGATCAAAATTTTATTTTTTTTTTATTCTTTATTTTTTTTAATTTTTTTTAATTTTTTTAATTTTTTAATTTTTTTAATTTTTTAAATTTTTTATATTTTTATTTTATCTTTTTATATATTTATATTATATTTTTTCTTTACCCCAAAACAATTCTCAACTCCGAAATACCGACTTTAAAACCCTCCCGAAATTTGCTTCGGTCATTTTGTGAGCAAATCGCGTGATGTTTAGAGATTTTGGCTTGAGGGGCCTGCTTGCCTGTCTTTCTTTTTTTTTCATTTGAGATTTCAGTGTTCCCATCTATTTTTAGCTTTTACAACTTGTCAACAAGCTTTGGGATTAGTTTTTATTTTCGATTCGATACCTGTCTTGTCTTGAGAATGTCGGGTTGTTCTTTGTGGCCACTCAAAATCGCTTGCTTTCTTTTCGATATCTGTCTTGCGTCAAACTTGGGTAATTAAACCGGCTGACGGGGCTTTCCGCGGCCCCTATCCCTGCGCAGTGTGCCAGACACCGCTTTTCTTTACGAGAGACAGGGAAAGAACGCACAGGATTGGCAGTGGCAGTTGCAAGGGGGAACAGTTTCCATAAACTTGGGTAATTAAACCGGACGCAGGTCTTTCCGGCGGCCCCTAACCGTGGGCAGTGTGCCAGAGGCCGCTTTTCTTTACGAGAGACAGGGAAAGAACGCACAAGGGTGGCAGTTCCCATAAACTTGGGTAATTAAACCGGCCGGGGGGCATTTCTGACCGTCATTATCCGGATCAGTATGCCAGATGCCACTTTTCTTTACGATTGACAAGGAAAGAGCGCACACGGAGAGCAGTTCCCACAAACTTGGGTAATTAAACCGGCCGGCGGTCTTTCCGGTGGGCCCTATCCTTAGGCAATGTGCCAGACGCCACTTTTTTCGACGAGCGACATGGAAAGAACGCACAGTGGTCATCGCTGACTTTTAGGTTTGTTAATCGGCGCCTCAAGCTTGGGTAATTAAACCGGCAGAGAGTCTTTCCGGCGGCACCTACCCGTGAGCAGTGTGCCAGACGCCGCTTTTGCTTTACGATTGACAAGGAAAGAACGCACACGAGAGTCAAAGCTTTTCTACTTTATGTTTTTTGATCCTTTTAAGTTTTTTTACTTTTTAATTCAGCAAGTTCGTTTGATTTTTTTAAAAATTTTAAGTTTTTTTAATTGGTTGAATTTCTCTTGAGGGTAAACCCTCAAATTATCATTTTACTTCAGGGAAATGAAAAAGAAAACTCTGATCGACTTTAATTTGACTATTTCAATCAATATCAAGAAATTTTTAAATAAAAAAATGATAATTCTCTTTGCTTTTTATTCTTGATGATCAAAAAACTTGAATTTCTTTTGGGTTTCTTTTTTGGTTTTCGGTGCTGCTGAAAGGCTTCAATTGTTCTTTTGCTTGAATCGTTCAATTGCTCTTCAACTCTTCCCTTCTCTCACTAATCTTTGAGTCATTTTCGTCATTAGAATCTTTGAGTCATTAGAATTATAATTTTTGCCTTAGTCATCCTTCATTTCGTTCATTTCGCTTATTCATTTCGTTTTTAAAACCTCAAATCTCATTTTCTCAGCTTCCTTTTCCTTCATTTGATCTCTCATTTCATTCTCCCTTCATTCTCCCTTCATTCTCCCTTCATTCTCTCTTCATTCTCTCTTCATTCTCTTTTCATTTCATCATTTCATTCGCTTTTCCAGGGTTTTACATCCTCGTCTATGCCTTTTGTCGGGGAGAAGAGATGTCAGTGGATTTCCCGGCGTCATCTCTCGATGGATCCCTCGCTTCACTCGTGCACTCACAGATCTCGCCAATTCCACAGCTATTCCCCTACACGCAAACAACAACCATCTCATCGTTGATCGTCGATGCTGTAAAGGTGAGAAAAATCGGGAAAAGAATCGACTTAAAAGATCAAGGCAAAAGCATGAGTAACGTAAGCACTGTACAAGGTGAGATAAATCAAAAAAAACCACTCCAAATTCGACTCCAATTCCACTCCGATTCCACTCCAGTTCAAAGCACAAGCCCATAGTTATAGCGCCACACTTCAGAGAACTTAGATTCGTCAAAATTTGGTCAATTTTTCTGATTTTTCTGATTTTTCTGGAGATAAATCTTAAGTAGAGAAGAATATTATCCTACCTAAGATTTATCTCCAGAAAAATCAGAAAAGTCAGAAGAATTGACCTAATTTTGACGAATCTAAGTTCTCTGAAGTGTGGCGTAGATCTCCTGAAAGTGCTGATTTAAGCTTTCAACTTTTCTAAGTCTAATAAAGTAAAGAAATGAATGAGAAAGAATTTAGGAATTGAATTAAATTGACAAGGGGAATTGAACCCTCGACTTTCTGCTTACCGGGCAGATGCTTTACCACTGAGCTATTGCTTCTTTAACCAAGAAGTAATAGGAAAGATAAGGAAGAAGAAAGAAAGAAAGAAGAGAGTAAGAAGAAAGAGAGGAGGGAAGAAGACAGTAAGAAGAAAGGAAGAAAGAAGACAGTAAGAAGAAAGGAAGGAAGAAAGAAAGCAAGAAAGAAAGAAAGGAAGAAAGAGTCTAAACAAGAAGATACAATGACAATCTAAGCTGTGGTTCGGGAAATAAGCTGAAAGTGATTTTTCTAGAGTACGAACCCTACTTCGTACTCCTATTACAATTACAGTACTCCAAATTACCGTACACTTTGGTATTTTGTTGTTTGTATTGTACAGTTATCCAACTTCAATTCAATTTCCAGGAAGCGATTGATGCAAACGCCACCGAGGACCCAAATCGTTGTGGTCTTCAACCGCACGCGTACCTTGAAGTGAAATTCTTTTTGATCAGCGTTGTCGGCAGTATTATTGGCCTATTCGGTCTCTTCGGGAATATTAGTACAGCTTTGATTTTGACAAGGTGAAATTAGAGTTTCGAGTGAAAATTTGAGCATTTATCTTTTTAGGCCATCAATGCGAAACCCGAACAACTTGTACCTGACAGCGTTGGCCGTTTTCGATTCTTGTTTACTCATCACAGCGTTTTTCATCTACGCAATGGAGTATATCATTGAGTACACACAACAATTTCAACTCTACGTCGCTTGGTTGACGTATTTGAGGTCAGAAATCGCTTCTCAGTTCATTCTTTAACTTTAGCAAAGCTTTTACAGTTAAAAAGCGAACTAAGCGAGAACAGCTCGTAAGAGAACAGCTTCTTTTCTCTCATTTATACGGGGTTTTTTCTTTTTCATTCAATGATAGCCACGATCTTCCACAGAGCTCACTTCTGGTGCACTGGATTCAGCTCCGCCTAAGCCTAAGCCTGAGCTAAGCCTGAGCCAAGCCTAAGCCTAAGCCTGAGCCTAAGCCTATTCCTAAGCCTAAGCCTAACCCTAACCTACTTTTTAGCCAACTTGTAAGGCTAACTTGTAAGGCTAGACTCTTTTCAAGCAATTGGTCCTATTTTTGACTATAACTTTTCATAGGCTTAGTCAATCAGGATAATTTTTGATGTGATTTGACGCGGGAGAACATTTCTAATCGATTCACATCAAAATCGTTTTAGATTAACGCTAATATTATGCCCAAAAGTACTTTATAAATCTATAAACATTTGGGAAATACCGTAAAAACTCTAGAAGAACGACCGAACGTCGACCGAACGAACGAGCCGCTCTATTAGAGTTTTTACGGTTTTCCATAAACGTCTCAAAAAATAGTCAAAGTTTCCACTCAAATAAACGCTCATATCTTGACACCAGTACTTTGAATTTTATATGTTTAGATATCAAATTAAAGTAGAGAGAATGGGGGTTATTTTGAGATATTACACAGGATTTTAGCATTAGCCAACTCTTAGAAAAGAATGATTGAAAATCGATGAAAAATCGTTGAAAGTCGGCTCATTTTTTTGTGACTTTACTGGAAGTTCTGGTTTAGATTCGCTTTCGCTTTGTCTCACATCTCTCAAACGGGAAGTGTCTACGTAACGGTGACTGTGACAATCGAAAGATATCTAGCAGTTTGCTATCCGAAACGCTCAAAGCGATACTGTAGCTCGGGTGGGTTTTAGAATTCTTTACAATTGTTTACAATTGTACACTTTTTAAGCAAATATCGGCAAATTGACTATTTTGTGAGCTAAGTTGAATCCGAAACAGAAACAGAACCAATTTAAGCCCAAATTCTCTAACTCATAAACCGTTTCCAGGCGGTGCCGCGTGGACGATCCTCGGTGTGACCACGTTTGCTTTGTTGTTCAATTCGACAAAGTTTTTCGAATTGGAAGTGAGTCTATTATCTACTATATCTGTTCGTTCATTCGTCTTTTCTCAGCCGTCTTTGGCCAAAAAGGTTCAAGACAAGATAGTCATGGTATTTAAATTCAAAAAAGCAAGATAAGGCAGTACGGGGAGTCGAACCCGGACCGGGCTCGCTGTAGAAAAACCCGCCACGACGCCACGACGACTATCAGTTAGCAGGAGAAATCCAGTGAGAAAAACCACCGTTCGCGGGTTCTTCAGTTGGTTCTTCAGTTCTTGGAGAACATAATTCAACGTCTCCAAACCTTTTGACAGTAATCCCCATCTACGTATTCCCCGTCTACAGTAATCCCCGTCTACTGTAAGCCCCGTCTACGTAATCCCCGTCTACAGTAATCCCCGTCCACAGTAATCCCCGTTTCAGGTAACAATCAATCCAGAGTGCGGTGAGGGAACGAATTGGCAATCCTATATGCTTAAACCATCAAAAATGGCTCAAAATGAGTACTATCAACAGGTGTTATTGATCTCGAAACTAGTCTTTACCCCAGCTCCATTCCAGGTCTACGCATTGTGGATCACCAACTTTGTGATGGTCTTCTTTCCGTTTTGTTGTTTATTAGTAAGTTTTTACATTGACAGCGGTTTCCTACAATGGCGTGCATCCTGGCGCCGAAACTTGCGTAATTAAACCGGAAGAAGAGCATTTTTGGCGGCCATGATCCAGGGCAGTGTGCCAGATGCCGCTTTTTCCTTTGAGCAACAGGAAAAGAACGCACAAGCTTCATCTAATGCTAGATGCAAAATCTGGGCCAGTGTGCCAGACGCCGTTTTTTCTTATGAGCGACATGGAGAGAACGCACTAAGGAAATTCTTTGTGCGTTCTCACAATCGCTTGCCTCCTGGCAACTTGGGTAAATAAACCGAGAGAAGGGGCATTTCCGATCGCCTCTATCCGGGCAGTGTGCCAGACGCCGCTTTTTCCTTTGAGCAACCGGGAAAGGACGCACAAGCTTCATCTAATGTTAAATGCAAAATTTGAGGTGCTCAATTCGATCATCGCTTACACAATCAAGAGAAGCCTTCAGAAATTTGACTACAGCGATCCAAAGATTCAGTGAGTTTAAGGAAAAGCTAAGAAATGAAAAACCGAACTAGAAAACTGAAAAAAAACTGAAATTGAACTCTTTTGCGTTTGCGCTTGCGCAACTCGCCATAACTTTTTTCTAAGTGAGCCAATCTTTATGATTTTGGTGTCATTTTGTAGATCTCAATAAGTGCAACAAAATGACACCAAAATCATAAAAATAGGCTCGCTTAGTAAAAAGTTATCGCGAGTTGCGCAAACGACCCAGTTCCGCAAATAAGCCTGCACAAAAAAGTTGCGGAAACTAGTCTAATCCCAATTTTCTTTTGGAGTAGCCTCTTTTTTTTCTTTCTTCAGCCGTCGAGCCATCGCCTTATCTCTAATCGCAATCGGGTATCCGGAAATCTCGTTGTTAAAAACTATTTCAAATTCTCTAAATTCTTACAAACGTTCAAACTTCTAATAAACAACATTTCTCTTTAAACTAACCCCGTGTAATCATTGTGCAACTGCCCATTTAACAATCCCTAACTTGAATTCTATCAAATTTCCTTTGTCAATCATTTCAAAATCTCTTATTTCATTCAAAATTCGTCAAAATTCGTCAAAATTCATCAAAATTCATCAAAAATCATTCAAAAATCATCCCAAAACCCTTCAAAACTCTTCAAAACTTTTCAAAAACCTATCTTTACCCTTTTCATCACTTCTGAATGCTCGATCAAACCAATTTTCTTCCAAAAACCCGAAAACTCTTCCCCCAATTTTAGCAAAAGAAAGCTGAGCTCAGTGGACGGGCCACCATCATATAAAAACAGTGAACAAACAATGAATCGAGCGAGCACAGTGACGGCGAATGGAGGAAATCCACCGAATCTCTTTACCTACACAAAACTATACATTGTTAGGTATAAGGATGAGATGCACGATCGGATTGAAAGCCACTCCTTTGTACTTGATCTGGTGAATGTTCGCGAATCGGGAAAATCACTCAACTTTTTAGTACTAGACGTCAAGACAGTACTATTTCAACCCAAGCCTAATTCCAATCTAGTAGAGCTACAGTGCCAACCGTAACCCGTCAAGCAAACCAGTTACCGTAACCCATCATTGCGTAGGCTACAGTGACCCAAGCAGACCAGTTACTGTAACCCGTCATTGTGTAGGCTACAGTAACCCGGTTAGACCGGTTACCGTAACCCAATTAGATCCAGCTACCGTAAACTGATAGAGATCGATACTATCAGCTGCAGACAAAACTACAGAACTACAGAACAATCGGTCAGAACAAGCGGAGAAAACGAAGATGGAATTAGGCTTGCCTTGGAGCTCATTAGACTACTGTATTTGACTACTCATTAGACAAAACTAGACCATTTTCTAGAGCTTTCTAGAGCCTTCAGAGCTAGGGCAGCTGTATCGTATTGGTGAATTCTTCAAACAAGTTTGCCAATATCGTACTAGAGTTGATACTTAGTGCTAGAGGGGTCAAAACTTTCTCCGAAACTTGTCTAAGACTACGAACGAGCATCTAGAGCCAGCTAAAGCCAGCTAGAGCCGACGCTAGATCCAGCTAGAGCCAGCTAAAGCCAGCGAAAGCCAGCTAAAGCCAGCTAAAGCCAGCTAAGGCCAGCTAAAGCCAGCTAGAGCGTAGTCTTAGACGTAGTCTTATCCGTTTCCCTATGATAGTCAAATGTCAAAAGATCTAATACTTTTCTGCAAGGTTTGTAGTCTTAGACAAAACTTGTTGCTAGTCTCAATCTCAATATTCGTTTACAGAAAAGTACTAGATCTTTTGACATTTGACTACCATAAGGAAACGGATTTCAGGCCCTAAAGGCCTAGCTTTTAATCTAGGCCTTAAATTTCACCTTTAAATTTCTTGGGTAAAGCTTTCTGAGTTTCCCGATTAGTGTGTTCCCGATCAGTGTGTTCAATGATCAAATGCGTGCTCAATTCTTGGCTTGAAAAGCTCGACTCTACAAGAGAATCCTACAAGCTTCGATTGAGCTACAAGAGCTACAACTCTTGTAGCTCAATCTTTTGAAACGAAGTGAATGACGCTTGAAATGTTCTTTGCCTCTAAACTGTCTATTTCTCTTCTTTTCCATATCAAAAGTATCAAAAGCATTGTGTTAAAATAGCTCTTTAAACTTTGAATCTCTTTTCCAATGTGCCAGATGATCTACGTTTCCAAAATTTGTACTCAAAGCGCTCGATTCTTTATTGTGCACGGTTCCCTCGGCTAGAATGTTTGATGTACAAAAGATCGGCAACTAGTAATGCAACCAATGATGGCTTTATACAAGCTACCGCAATTCTATGTCCAGCTTTTCTACAAGCTACCGTAACTATGTGATTTCTTTAGATAAAGGAAAGATCAATGAGAGATTTAGGGTGAAAGATCGACACGAGTTGAAGGAGAAGAGTCGAGAGGCGACTATGGTTTTGATCACGATCGTTTTCATCTTTTTGATCTGCAACTTCTGGGGGTCAGTGAGTTTAAGGAGAGTCGGCAAGGGTTACCGTAGCCAGATTACGGTAATGGATTACGGTAATGGGCTACAGTAATGAACTACAGTAATTTGAAAGTCAAAGTTTACAGAAATGGTTTCTTTTCGAAAAGAGTTCTATTTCCAAAAAAGCTAAAGTAATCTAGCCTCGAGTTTCGACAAAATCAGCTCATTTTTTCCTTTTCATTAAAGGAATTGTGTTTCCTTAGAAAATTGGATAAAAATTAAGTTAATCATGATGAAAACTACGGTAGGATTACGGTAAGATTACGGTAGGATTATGGTAGGATTATGGTAGGATTAGGGTAGGATTAGGGTAAGATTACGGTAGGATTACGGTAGGATTATAGTAAGATTATGGTAAGATTATGGTAAGATTATGGTAGGATTATGGTAGGATTACGGTAGGATTACGGTAGTTTACGGTTTTTGTCTTTTGAACACTCGAAGAAGTATTCTATTGTATCTCTTGGATTCAAAAATGATTTTGTTCCAGATTTGTGCTCACATTACTTGAGCAAATCCTTCCTTCATCCATTTTGCATGAGGATTACGGCACTTTTTACACCTTCTCCCGAGAGGCCATCAACTTTCTCGCGATCATCAACTCGTCCATCAATTTTGTCATCTATATCATTTTTGGAAAGGATTTTAGGTAAGATTTTGAGAAGCTAAAGAAACTAAAGAATCTAATGAATCTAATGAGTCTAAAGAATAGGAATACAGCACAGCTACTTCAACTACAATAGGCTATTTGTCTGCTGTATTCTGTCTGTCTGCTTAAGAATAGGCTTTTGTCCATAAAAGCTAGAGGTTACCAGAGATCTGTAGGCTTACAGTAGGTCTACAGTAGGCCAGCTTTTAGTAGATCAAGACTACGGCAGTCTAACTATAAAGCTTGTATCTATATGGTTCTTTTATGGGTTTCGTTTGGGATTCCAAAAACTAGTCCCCACCGGGATTCGAACCCGGCACCTCCCGCCGACCTCTAGCTTACTAGGCGAGCGCTCTACCAATGAGCTACGCCGACACGTGGTTCGTTGCCACCAAATGAGGGTCTTATGCCTTATCCTTCCTTTTTCTTCCTTTTTCTTTCTTTCTTTCTTCTTCCCTCTTCTCTTTCCTTTTTTCTCTTCGCAAGCTAAGGCACCGGATAGCTCAATGGTTAAAGCGCATGCCTGCAAAGCGAAAGGTCGAGGGTTCAATCCCTTCCCGTGAAATCTACTTTTTCTTCCAAATTCCTTCACTTATTTCAGAAAAGAGCTGATCATTGTTTACGGGTGTGGAATGAGAGGAATGACGCTGAGACTGCCGACTCATGATAAGTTCAGGTTAGTTCAAAGTCGACAAAAAAAGGTTCGCTCAACGTGTTCTACCCTCATTGATTTGCTTAACGATGCTTAACGATTGACTCACGATTGACTCACGATTAACGCAATCCCCATTCTCCATAACATTTCTCATGCTCAGTTGAAAGATTGAACTTAAAATTTCAATAAAATCTCTTTCTCTAGAAAAGTACAAATGAAACACAACGGATTGGCAAAATCGTACGCAAATCAAATGGGAAATCACGGTATTGTGTTTGCGAGAGAGAGAGGAAAATAGTTGCTAATGCCTAGAAATAAATCTATATAAGAATCTCTTACTGTAGACTGTGTACTTTGTGCTCAAAGGTGCAAACACACCAGTTCTGGTGCACTCATTAGAACAAGAGGTGTGCGTTCTTTCTCTGTCGCTCATAGGAAAAAGCGGCGTCTGGCACACTGGCCCGGGATAGGGGCTGCGGGAAGGCCCCCGGCCGGTTTAATTACCCAAGTTTTGGGCGCCGATTAACAAGCCTCATAGTCAGCAATGGTTTCACCACTGTGCGTTCTTTCCATGTCGCTCGTAGGAAAAAGTGGCGTCTGGCACACTGGCTCGGGATAGATGCCGCGGGAAACGCCCTCTCCCGGTTTAATTACCCAAGTTTTGCCAGAAGGGAAGAGTTCGAAAGCACAAAAAACCTCATTTTTCCAGTGCCAACTTTCAGTGCGCCAGATAGGGTGTTTTGAGCACAAAGCGGATCCCTTCTACCCAATTCTTTGCCGATCTCAATCCAATCAAATTTTAGTATATGGCGAACGTGGACGAAACGGGTGGACATTCGGCGGAGCATTTCGATGGTTACGGCTCGCCGGAAATCGGTTCGACTCTTAAACCATTTAAAAGCTCTCTGAGCAAATCTAAAGCATGCCATAACTACCGTAATCGGTAGAATTACAGTTTTAAAATCTGACTCCCATTTCAGACAGTTACACGGTATGCCAAAAAAACGTTTGTTTTTTTCTCAATTTTTCTCAAGCCATTCACCAAAAAGGCAACTTTTCTTTTTCTTTTGAGTAAAAGTGACTCTGGCGTGTCTCCAAAGCTTATTATCTCGATATTTCAGCAACAATTTTTTAGACTTTCAATTCATATTCAATTTCAGCATGCCGTGGGATCAGAAGATCCCCATTCGGGACGGCGAACCTCGATGTTGCTCGGATATCGATCAGAGTTTGGGCTCGCAAATGGGCAAGCTGGTGAGCGGGGTCTAACACCAACAACAACAACAATGAGTGACTCAGTTACCGTAACCCGTAACTGTGTAGGGCTACAGTAACCCAAGGAAACCCATCCACCGTAACCTGTAACTCTGTAGGGCTACAGTAACCCAAGTAGATCCAGTAACAGGGACTGCAAAGTATAGCGACAACTTTTTGGAAAAGTAGCTGGCAAATGCTTAAATTATTTGAAATGTGTCAAGTGTTATATATAGAATTGTAGCTCTAATTCTTGGCAACATTTATCTACAAAAAACTTTTTGATTGGACGTATACAAGTCATTTAACAAGCGCTTGAATGAGCGCTAGTTAAAGATGTCGATCTCTCCGGCGAATTCTTGTCATTTGGCCACTTTTCTTTATTAAAAATTGTTAAGAAAAGCTTTTCAAGATTTTTTAAAAAAAATAGCTTTTAACATCACTAAATAACATAAAAAAAACAAAATTAGCTGTTTGAAATGAACTGGCAGAACCAAAATTAAAGTTGATGACAGGTTTGAGAGACTAGCGCTCATTCATGCGCTTGTTAAATAAGCTGTATACGTCCAATCAAAACGTTTTTTGTAGATAAATGTTGCCAAGAATTAGAGCTACAATTCTATATATAACAATTAATACTTTTGAAATAATTTAAGCATTTGCCAGCTACTTTTCTAAAAAGGTTGTCGCTAGACTTTGCGATTACCTATAGTAATCCTACTGGTAGAGTTACAGTAACCAAAGTTACTGTAAAGCCACAACAAACATTAACTAGAGATCTACCAGACCATTTTCTATTCTTTAAATTTAGTGGGAACCCCAGGAGCCTCTTCTACAAGAGGTGGAGGCTCGTCATCCCCATTCCACCCCTCCTCCTACTCTCCCGCCCACTCCGAGCGGCTCATTCCCCTCATTGACGATCACCCTCGTTTGAACGGTCATCTACATCAAGATTCACTCGATTCACCAATCAAGTGCCTTGTCAATGGTTTGTTTCCATCGTTTTGCAGTCTTTCAATCTTTACACTTGATTTTCTATAGTAATTTGAGTGCTCAATCAGCAAATCGGTGAGTGAAAATTTTGCAAAAAAAAAAGCTTGTCTTTCTCTATAAAAACCCGCTTCTATCAGACTTGATTTTGACAAAAAAAAAGGTTTAAAGTCGGGAAGCTGTGCAAAGAATTTACATTTGGATGATGTTGAGTAGAAGCAAAGCTTTGCTAGAGCACTGAATTCTTTTATTACAGTTTTCAGCGTTGAACCCAACTCTAAACCCTTTCCTTTCCCCCCAGAATCTTTTTCATCGCTCAATTACAGGTTCTGAAGGTTACGTTTCTTCTCCCAACTCTCCGCGTTTCCTCTCACCAACCACTTGTCTTTCTCTTCAAAAGGAAACAATCGTCTCATTGTCTTCACGAAATGGCGATTGTAATAGTGATCGATTAGGGACACTGTGTTAAAAATATTGTAGTTGATACTGTAGTTATTTTTCTGGGATTTGCTTCGTTTATTCACATAGTATAGAGATTGCTTTCAATTATCCACCCAGCAAGCTAAAAGATTAGAGATCTAACTGTAGATCTAATACAGTAACCTAGAGTCAGCTAGAATAGTCTACGATAGGCTACAGTATTCTAACAGTACCGTAGTCTACAGCAATCTTCTATAGTCTACAGTAATCTCCAGTAACCTGCAATAGCCTTCTATAACCTACAGTAGCGCACAGTAACGTACTGTAACCTGACAGTAACGTACTGTAGCCTGACAGTAGCCTACAGTAACTCTACAAAGCTTAAAGGGACCTTCAGTAGCCTACAGTAACCTACCGTAATCTGACAGCTGACAGTAACCTTCTATAGTCTACAGTAATCCCCAGTAACCCTACAGTAGCCTATAATCTATATGCGAAAAACTTACTGTAAATGTGAATGTCTAAGCAAATCCTAATAGATTTCTCTTAAGTTTTCTCATTTTTTTTTGATGCCTTTTCGTCTCCCGAGCTCCCTTTTTTGCTATCCCCCCTTCTCGTTGCCTCAAATATGGGTTTCACTTTGTGCTTTGTACTTCTTTTTGTTCATTCGAAATTTGAAATGTTTGATAAAGATTGAAAATTGACATAAAAACAATTCACAAAAGAGTTTTTTCAAGTATTTTTCATTTTATTTATGAAATTTTTTTCTCATAAGTCAAATCAACACGAGAGATCTCTTCTCGATCTCCCTTTTTTTTGCATTTAATCCATTTATCAAGCCAAATTTTGTGACCAAATTTCAAATAACACAACACACACCCATGTGTTGCCATTCTGAGACTATTTGCAAAGATTTGTGCTGAAAAAGAACGCATTCTTTGTCCAAGATTGAATCCCATCGGCAAATCGTTGAGTCTCTTTTTCTTTTCTTTTCTTTTCTTTTCTTTTTTTTCTTTTCTTTTCTTTTCTTTTCTTTTCTTTTCTTTTCTTTTCTTTTCTTTTCTTTTAAGTTGATTCTTCCTTCCCGAAAGAAAGTCGATTCTTTTGAGCAAACAATGACTCCTTTTTGAATCCCCTTCTTGAACACTTCCCAATCATTTCCGCCATCCATCGTCTAAAGGCAAACTTTGTGAATTGAGGAGGAAATTTGGAAGAAAGCGGATTGGTGATTAAGAACTGCAAAATGTTCAAAAATGATCGGCACATTGTGGAATCAAAATCGTTCCCGTTGATGCTGGAGTCAGGCTTACTCCAATCGTCTCTGATCTGTCTCTGATCTCTGAAAAATGAATTTCCGGATAATTTGGATACCGGATAACCCGGATTTTCAGATTTCCAGATAAAATTCGGATATGGATAATTATCCGGATTATCCGGATTATCCGGAAAATCCGGATAACTCTGGACATTGTGAATTCTAGCTAATTTTCTTGTTTTTGTGTTTTTTCGATCTTTTATTTCGCGACTTACAAACATCGTACCAAATTTACATATGAAAAATAATAAAATAAGATTAAAAGCTTCGTAGAAATACTTCAAGTTACACATAGCCATACGAATTTTATCAAAAAATGACACATCATTTGGCTCGAAACGCGAAAATTTCAACTTTCGCCGTTTCATTATCCGAACTTTCCGGATATCCGAATCCGAATAAACAAATCGGTATTTCCGGGATTTCCGGATAATTTCCGAATCAATTTCCAGATAATTCGTGCAGCCCTGAATCCAGGTGCATGTCTGGCTTACCCAGAGACTTTTTTTTTATGAGCCAATCTCATCAGCACCGCCATATTTGAATCTTTATTTTATTTGACGTCATTCCCCATGCAGAAGCTATGCTATGACCTAGAGCTGGAAGTTTTGGAGTAAATGAGGCAGATGATCTTGAAAAGTTTTTCTTTTTGGAGAACTGGCAAACCCCTCTAAATTAAAGTAGTGGTCAAAATTAGATTCCCCTCAAAAAAGTGATACTCTTTTGAGGGGTTGTAACTTTATATGTAGAAATCGAAATACAAGGTGACCACAAAGTTTCCGGAATTTGTTTAGTGACGGCTGTTTGATGTGCTATTATCCTATTCGAGCGTTTTATTGATTTTCATCTCATTTTCACGACTTTTTCAATATTTTAGCGTGAGATTTTTTAGGATTTGCTACAATGAGCCCGAAACTGGATCGAGAGAAGATCGAGAGAAGATGCGCACAGCGGTTATCGCCTTGCACAATGCCGGAATGAAGACCATAGACATTGTGAAGAACACCAGATACAAAACGAGCACCGTCTATGATGCCATGAAACGCTACCAAATCGTTGGTACAAACCCTCGGACCTTAAAAGAAGTGGCCGGCCTCCGACCGTAGTTATCCATAACATCGTCAACAAGATGCGACGCAAAATTTGCTGAAATCCACAACGATCGATGCGAAAAATGGCTAAGGAGCTGAATTTGGGACGTTAAAGTGTTCGAAAGATAGTTCGAAAGAATCTGAAACTTATTCCTTACAAAATTTCCCTAGCACATTTCTTGAACGATGCGATCAAGTCGAAACGGCTAGCCAAAGCTCGCAAGATGCTTCGCTTGGTTGCAGGGCAACAACTGAGCAAAGTACTCTTCACTGATGAGAAGATTTTTACCATTGAGCTAAAACACAACTCTCAAAATTATTGCCAATTGCTTCGTAAAAGACTTAAGAACACTTTTGCAGCAAAAGTTTTTGTTCAGCTGTTATTTTCCGGTCTCTGTGATGGTTTGAGGTGGCATTTGTGCATCCGGAAAGACCTCGCTTGTGTTTGTCGATCGAAACGTGAAAATTAATGCTCAAGTTTACCAGCAGAAAGTGCTAAAAGATGTGGTAAAACGTTGGGCATCAAAGCACTTTGGTCAAGCAGAATTTGTGCCTCAACAAGACTGGGCGCCGGCACACTCAGCTCGCTCCACACTTCAAATTTGCCAAAACTTGTTCCCTGGATTTTGGACAAAAGATGTTTGGCCACCAAATTTGCTCGATTTGTCGCCGCTTGATTATTCATTTTGGTCTCTTCTTGAAGACAAACTTCGGAACTATCGCTACACAAATGTCGATGGATTAAAACGTGCCTTGACCCGAGCTTAGAGTGATATTACTACTCTAGAGTGCACGACCATTATCGACAATTTCCCAAAGAGACTCCGAAAATGTATTCAGGAAATTTTGAGCATCTTTTGTAATTGTTTTTGTTTTAAATTATTGCTAAAAAATAGAAATTGTTATTTTCATGCTTTTTCAGAAAAGAGAAACAGTCTATTTGAGTCTTATTACTTTTTTTGAATTATCTTTCTCCCCGACAACCTAGCTAAATGGCTAGCTAAAAGGGAGAATTTAGAAAAAATCCATAAAGGTTTTTTCTTGAGAAGCGATCAGGGCCAAGATTTGCCTAACAAAGGGTATATTTTTGAATTATCTTTCTCCCCGAAAACCTATTCTATCGCTTTTGAGACGCTGAACGGCGGAAGGTGCACTGACGAGAGTTTATCTGAAGAGTATACAAAATTGCATCGAGATTTTTCTTACTTGCTTTTCTTGCTTTCTTTTTCGAATTTTTTTTAGCTCCTATTTCTCCCTGATCAAAGCCATTGAGCATCTCGTTTTCTTAAAGAAATCCCTCGAATCCCGGGAGTGCCCAACATATTTCCTCTTTGGAATGTTAAGGAAAACGAAAGGCGCTTTTCAAAAAAAATCCCGGGAACTTTGTGGTCAGCCTGTATAAGTGCTATAGCATCTGAAAGCTTTCATTGAGCTCTACAAAATGTACTATATTAGGTTGTCCAATAAGTAATGCGTGTTACTTATTTCGAAACTATTGCGAAATCGCTTCGAGCAAATATATGCTCTTTTTAATCATCAGCATCTTGTGTTTATTTTTATATATTATTTTATTCATTTGCTTTTGTTTTATAATAGATATGTTGTTTTGCAGATGAAAGACAAAAAGTTTGTTGTCCGCGCATCAATGCTGTATGATTTCAAACGAGGTAAAACTGCAGCGGATTGCCATCGAACTATCTGTGCCGCATTTGGAGAGGATTCAATTTCAATCAGTCAGTGCCAGCGCTGGTTTAAACGATTTGCGGACGGAAACGAGTCATTAGAGGACGAGGAACGCGCTGGAAGGCTGGAATTTCTTCTCATCGAAACCAGCTTCATTCTATTATGACGGACTTCACTCTTTGCTCGGACGATGGAGAAATGTTGTTGATTGTTTTGGAGAATATATCGATTAATAAAGTTCTCTTTTGTTAATTTTGTGATATTTTGAAAATCGTGTCAAAACATTGGACAATTATTGGACAACCTAATATCAATTTGAGAAATACGGTAGTTTTATCCAGCTTTTAGGGGTAAAGCAAAAATTTTGTGCGATTTTTGGGGCAATTTTTGACTACCAGAAACGCTTGGAATCATTCTGAAACCATGTTTTTCGGAAATAACGCAAAAATGACGCAGGAAAAATTGTTTTTTTTTTTTGACAGCTTATAACATATTTCCAACGAAGATATGTCGAGAAAGCGAGCTTTATTTTCAAGCAGTTCCCTCCTTTTTAAAGCCTTAAGATATTATATATATACTTTATCCGACAAGGAAAAGTGACAATGCAAACAGTTTGAACAGCGTAGACGAAGAAAGATAATTGATATACAAACACAACTACAATTAGACACGTGTATATATGACATTAAAAACTAATTTAAAATTGACAGAGCTACAAGATCGAGCTTATATATTGAGGATTTCAAATAGTTCAGAGACGAAAAAATATCACAAGGTAACTTATTCCAAATACGAGGAACACGACAAGCAAAAGATTGTGCTTGTTATTCTGCTTTTTTTTTATTAATGATTGATTAAACTGATGATTTTTTGACATTTCTTCTTAGAATGTATTATTAAGAAAAGTGTGAAAAATGGCAACTCGCGGAGAGAGACTTGAGCTCATTCGAGAGCTTGTAAAATGAGTTGTATGACTCCAATCGGAAAAGTTTTAGTAGATAAATGTAGCCAAGATGAAGGGCTTTATTTTTCTATATAACACTTGGCACTTTGATAAGAAGACAGGCGTTTGCCAGCAACTTTTCCAAGAAAGGTATCGCCATAAGTCGTGGTCAACCTGTAATTTTCCCAATTTTCTTTTCTAATTAAATTATTTGGGTTGTCCAGTTATGAATGCGCGTTTTTTACTATTTTGTGAATTCCTCAAGATACCGAAATCAAGAAAAAGATCTATATGAGTATTATTCGAAAGCTGAAAATCTCCTCTACATTTTGATATAAAAAGTCTTTGAATTTGTTCAGCTTTTGGGCAAATTAACTGCACAGAAGAAGAGGTGGCCAAAAAAATGGAAGGATGCCTTTGGATCAAGTTTTGGCTCCGCTCAAATTGAGGTTAACTCGTTTGATGTTTGGCCAATAGATATATCAATACAACTTTTTTTTAAATATAACAGTTTCAGAGCATCTTTACTTTTCTATTCTGGGCGGTTATTTTGCACCATAAAACTTGAGGAATAGCTAAGCTAGAATAGCTAAACTGGAATAGCTAAGCTGGAATGGCTAAGCTGGAATAGCTAAGCTAGAATAGCTAAACTGGAATGGCTAAGCTAGAATAGCTAAACTGGAATAGCGAAGCTGAAATGGGTTTTTTCGAAAACGACCTCTCCCTTTGTGCAGTCAATTTCCCAAAAAGTTGAATGAGTTCAAAAACTGTTTTTATTCCAAAATGTAGAGGAGATCTTCAGCTTTCGAATGATATATAACACTCATATACATCTGTTCGATATCATGAGAAATTTACAAAATAGTAAAAACGCGCATTCATAACTGGACAACCTAATATATAGAGTTCCCTCAAAAGATCATTCTACATGAAGTTTTTCTGGCTTTTTTAAGTTACAGGTATAAAAATTGTTTATCTTACGGCTTTGTGAACGTATTATTTTTGTATGCTGATGCTTTTGCGATATTTTGATAGCTTTCATCTTCATTAAAATTCAAGAATTTCGATTAAAAATGAAACGCAATAAAGGATAAAATAACGGAAAAAAAAAGTTGAGACAAATGGTAGAAAGCAATGAATATCAGCAAGAAAGAGCGGAAAATTCGAGATTCGACTGGTAGATGCTTTCGAAGGAGAGTTTCAACGAGAAATAGCAAGTTCTCCCGCTTTCGATTTGATTTTTGTAGCAACGAAGCCTTGTGATTTCCTTTTCTCGGTCCAGAGTCTCCAAAATTCTTAAAGCTTCCCGTGAATGAATTGATATTTTCAAAAGCCCCAACTGATTATTGACCATTTCGTCGATTTCTTCAAATTCGTCGATCAGAGCTCCACAAACGGTGACGGCGATCTGTGCATTTGAACACAAACTGGGAATTTTACTTTGGAGGACTTTCAAAACGGTAACCTGAAAGGTCGAGTACTCACAGGAGTGCAATTTGATCTTTTGGATCAATGACGCTGAAAGTTTTTCATAAAAGAGTTCCAATGGGCCACAAATCGAGATCGAGTGGCAATTTGACAGTTGAGCATCCAGTTTCTCATTCAGGTAACGAAAAACTGGCCACGCGGGAGGAAGATCTGCGGAAAAATGCGAAAAAACTTTTGCATTTACCGTTTCATTGACAATCCGCAATTGCTCAAGATTTTCCACTTCCAATTTTAAACAGCCAAGCATCCGGATTTCGGTCGGCAAAAATTTCGAGATCAAAAATGAATTTATTGCAAAGGGAGAATGCGGGGGATTTTGGTGATTTGATTTTTGTCGCTTTTTTGGTGGCCCTTGATGAACAGAGGGTTTCGGGAAATTCCCACAAACTTGCCCAAACCATCCCTTCCCAGCGGCTTGCACTACCATGTGGCCATTTCCCATCTGCGGCTGCATCATTGGACGCCGGATCGGCTGCATCATTGGAGGGATCGGCATCATTTGACCAGCGGCATTTCCGTACATCGGCATCATTTGGTTAGCTCCCGGCGGTAGTGCTGGCATATGACGTCGATGATGGACAGCATTGTTGATCATTCGGTGATGGGAAATGCTTGGTGGATAGATCGGTGGTGGTTGGCTTTCCTTTTCGATTTTCACCGTCAAACTTTTGCAGCTTCGAATTGTGCTGAAAAGAGGTCCAGAGCGAGGGCCCATTATTTGCGAATTTTCCTCTTCAAAAGTGCCGGAATGACTAGATAGGTGATAGCGATTGGGCACGCCGTGGGGCTCCGCTTGAATGAATATCATGCTCACCATATGAGTAGAGTCGATCTCATTCTCATGCCCTTTCGAAAAAGTGATTTCTAAAGCATTCAACTTTTGTGGAAATGGCCCATTCTTTAGAAAAAACAAACGAAGATTTCTAGTCAGCGTCAATAATTTGAGAGCCTCATGAATGCGGACTTGTTTAAGCACGGTTTCTTGAAGGCTTAGTGGCAGGATTTGAAGTGAAAATTGCATTCTGAGGAAATGAAATAAGCACAACTAGAAGAAGGGATTCTTTTTGTAAAATGGAAAAGTATTGGCGGGACGATATCTGGAAGAGAAAGCGATAATTGCCAACAATAATTGGCATAATAATTTTGGATTACGATCGCTCATCCATAAAAGAGTTACGCATAAAATGGAGAGCTTTTTGCACAAAAACTCTTGTATCGGAAAAATATCGAATTTTTAAAATTAGCCTTCCTTTTCATACAAACGATATCTAGAAATACTTGTTAAATTGTTAAAAAAGGACTTATTAAGTTCTATTAAATTTTAGCTACAAAATTGTCTAGTTGATCGTCTATTTGGAGAGAGATGGAGGACTTTCTAATGGAGGACTTTCTCCCTAATGGAGAGCTTTTAATGGAGGACTTTCTCCTCAATTGATTCCATAAGTTTAGTGATCAGAATTTTTTGAAATTCCGAGGAATTGTCTTCAAGAATGCCGATTTCACAGCGGTTGATCGCTAAATCACAGAGTTTTTCATCGTGGAACACATCCAAACAGACCTTCTGGGTCATTTCAAGAGCTTCTTTCAAATTATTCCTTTTTACTTTCAGTTGTGCCAAAAAATTACAAACATCGTCATATTGAATGTAGGCTGCGGAAAAGTTTGCTAACAGATTTTGAAGCATTTTTTCCGAAAGGAAATCTTTTAGTTCTAGTGGTTCTTCAAGATTTGGAAGATCCAAATCCCCGATTCTTATCTCTTTTTCGAAGAAGTCTAGCTTTTCATCCATGCAGGGCAGTTTGATCGTTTTCGTGGGATCCCCATTGCTTTCATTGAAAACTTGCGAATAGTCGAGAAAATCGAGCACAAACACTCGCTCGCCTTTCGTTTTCCTTAACATTCCAAAGAGGAAATATGTTGGGCACTCCGGGATTCGAGGGATTTCTTTAAGAAAACGAGATCGAGTACTCACAGGAGTGCAATTTGATCTTTTGGATCAATGACGCTGAAAGTTTTTCATAAAAGAGCTCCAATGGGCCACAAATCGAGATCGAGTGGCAATTTGACAGTTGAGCATCCAGTTTCTCATTCAGGTAACGAAAAACTGGCCACGCGGGAGGAAGATCTGCGGAAAAATGCGAAAAAACTTTTGCATTTACCGTTTCATTGACAATCCGCAATTGCTCAAGATTTTCCACTTCCAATTTTAAACAGCCAAGCATCCGGATTTCGGTCGGCAAAAATTTCGAGATCAAAAATGAATTTATTGCAAAGGGAGAATGCGGGGGGATTTTGGTGATTTGATTTTTGTCGCTTTTTTTGGTGGCCCTTGATGAACAGAGGGTTTCGGGAAATTCCCACAAACTTGCCCAAACCATCCCTTCCCAGCGGCTTGCACTACCATGTGGCCATTTCCCATCTGCGGCTGCATCATTGGACGCCGGATCGGCTGCATCATTGGAGGGATCGGCATCATTTGACCAGCGGCATTTCCGTACATCGGCATCATTTGGTTAGCTCCCGGCGGTAGTGCTGGCATATGACGTCGATGATGGACAGCATTGTTGATCATTCGGTGATGGGAAATGCTTGGTGGATAGATCGGTGGTGGTTGGCTTTCCTTTTCGATTTTCACCGTCAAACTTTTGCAGCTTCGAATTGTGCTGAAAAGAGGTCCAGAGCGAGGGCCCATTATTTGCGAATTTTCCTCTTCAAAAGTGCCGGAATGACTAGATAGGTGATAGCGATTGGGCACGCCGTGGGGCTCCGCTTGAATGAATATCATGCTCACCATATGAGTAGAGTCGATCTCATTCTCATGCCCTTTTGAAAAAGTGATTTCTAAAGCATTCAACTTTTGTGGAAATGGCCCATTCTTTAGAAAAAACAAACGAAGATTTCTAGTCAGCGTCAATAATTTGAGAGCCTCATGAATGCGGACTTGTTTAAGCACGGATTCTTGAAGGCTTAGTGGCAGGATTTGAAGTGAAAATTGCATTCTGAGGAAATGAAATAAGCACAACTAGAAGAAGGGATTCTTTTTGTAAAATGGAAAAGTATTGGCGGGACGATATCTGGAAGAGAAAGCGATAATTGTCAACAATAATTGGCATAATAATTTTGGATTACGATCGCTCATCCATAAAAGAGTTACGCATAAAATGGAGAGCTTTTTGCACAAAAACTCTTGTATCGGAAAAATATCGAATTTTTAAAATTAGCCTTCCTTTTCATACAAACGATATCTAGAAATACTTGTTAAATTGTTAAAAAAGGACTTATTAAGTTCTATTAAATTTTAGCTACAAAATTGTCTAGTTGATCGCCTATTTGGAGAGAGATGGAGGACTTTCTAATGGTGGAGAGCTTTTAATGGAGGACTTTCTCCTCAATTGATTCCATAAGTTTAGTGATCAGAATTTTTTGAAATTCCGAGGAATTGTCTTCAAGAATGCCGATTTCACAGCGGTTGATCGCTAAATCACAGAGTTTTTCATCGTGGAACACATCCAAACAGACCTTCTGGGTCATTTCAAGAGCTTCTTTCAAATTATTCCTTTTTACTTTCAGTTGTGCCAAAAAATTACAAACATCGTCATATTGAATGTAGGCTGCGGAAAAGTTTGCTAACAGATTTTGAAGCATTTTTTCCGAAAGGAAATCTTTTAGTTCTAGTGGTTCTTCAAGATTTGGAAGATCCAAATCCCCGATTCTTATCTCTTTTTCGAAGAAGTCTAGCTTTTCATCCATGCAGGGCATTTTGATCGTTTTCGTGGGATCCCCATTGCTTTCATTGAAAACTTGCGAATAGTCGAGAAAATCGAGCACAAACACTCGCTCGCCTTTCGTTTTCCTTAACATTCCAAAGAGGAAATATGTTGGGCACTCCCGGGATTCGAGGGATTTCTTTAAGAAAACGAGATGCTCAATGGCTTTGATCAGGGAGAAATAGGAGCTAGAAAAAATCGAAAAAGAAAGCAAGAAAAGCAAGTAAGAAAAATCTCGATGCAATTTTGTATACTCTTCAGATAAACTCTCGTCAGTGCACCTTCCGCCGTTCAGCGTCTCAAAAGCGATAGAATAGGTTTTCGGGGAGAAAGATAATTCAAAAATATACCCTTTGTTAGGCAAATCTTGGCCCTGGTCGCTTCTCAAGAAAAAACCTTTATGGATTTCTTCTAAATTCTCCCTTTTAGCTAGCCAATCCTCAAGTGATTTAATCATGAAAAGGTAGTGCATTCTTTTTGCCGACCATTTTTTTAGGGTTTTTGTGCTATTCTTTTTTTCACCAATGAGCTCAGCAATTTGAGAAAAGTCGCTCTTTAAAAAATAATTGCAATTGATTTTCGAAATCGGCTCCACCAAGATCCACTCATTTTCTAGCGTTTCTCTTGAGATCTCGACTTCTTCGCACGACTCGGAAAACCAAATTTCCTCGAGACTTTTCAGCAGTGAAGCTTTTTGCTCCCATATATGTACGTGAAATGTTTCCGCGGCGTAAAAATTAAATTGCAAATAGGCGACACAGAGTTTTATCGCTTTTATCGAAAACCATGCATCTCGCTCGGTTGGAACACTTTTCATGCGGTAACCTTGCGGATTCCAGAATTCGGAAAAAAACCTAACAATTTCTTGATCAATGCTCGGATCGATGCTCTCTTTTGTCACAAGTTTCAGAATTTCACCAATGGCTGCAGGGAGGCCCGCCACCAAGGGCATAATGTCTCCAAAATCCAAAGAGACATCTGCAAGCTTTTCAAAAAACCCATTTTCATCAATGACAACTTCTGCTCCTTGCCTTTGAAACCTTGCCTGCAAGAGTTCACTGAATAAGGTCTTCTCCAATTTTCGTTTCAACCAGATTTTGACATTGCTAAATTCCATCATAGGATCCGGAAACTGAAACTCGAATATTGCCAAACAAACACGAGAAACGATATCCAAAGATTCGTCGATTTCATCACTCGAAATTCCAAGGGACTTGAAAAACGGGCAAATTTCTTGGCGACTTCGATAATTTCTCGAAAATTTCATTAATGACTGCCGCATTAGCTCTTTATAATCGTATTTTCGTAGATCGAAGGTGTAAAGATTCAAATGCTTAGGATTGAGCTCAATAGTACTCCTACTGACTTTCAAGTTTAAAAGCTTCATTGCTTCAGGGTCTAAACACTGGAGTTTCACAATTTCATCCTCGTTCCCGTTAAGAAGCGGTGACAAATCCAACACAAGAACATTTTTCTTTTCTTTTTCACTTTTTAACGACAGAAATTGAAAATAGCACGGGTATTGGGTAAACACTTGCTTTTTCAAATAGTAAATATGAGCAACGGTCTCACAGAGATCCATAAAATCTTCCAATTTTGTGAAGAGGTAAACAAGGTGTGAGAAATCGTAGAAAAGATACGAATAGATGCCACTTTGTCCATGTGAGCAATGTGGATAGAAGATCTCAAGTTCACATCGTGGGGCAATAAAAGTGCAAGCAGCTCGAATGAGCGGACATTTAACCTCTGTGCATTCACATTTGAACTCCGGGGCGTGCGTGAGCTCGTAGATGTAGCCTTTTGATTTGAGATCTTGACCACCGACTTCAGAAACGATGGTGTGCGATCTATATAGTGGCTCCTTCACCTTTTTCCAAAGTTCGTTAGCTTTTTCGATTATAAGCTCAATTGAGATCTCTTCCACGTGACTCTTCTCCAAATTTATCTCTCCATCATCTTTTGTTTCACTGAAATCTTTCTTTACGTAATGTGTTTTTCCCTTCTGAAAGATTTCCCCCAATTTCAACCATTCCTCGCTATATTTTGTTTTAAAAACCCAGAACTTGACTCTTTTGCACGTCTTTTTGAGCTTCTCCAATTTGCTAGCGACTCTTTTGATTCTTTCGCGATAATCGGGGAACAAATTAAATCTTTTCCAATCGTGAATCAATCCGAAAAATTTTGCCAACGTCTTGACCTCGACATGTGGTTGCAAATAAGTGTTCGCTCGAATGGGCTTCTTTCCGCCAATAGAATAGGCAAGATCTTGGCCGGTCAATCGCTCAAAAAGATCTCGATATCTATTCTTCTCACTGAACTCAAAGATAGCGATTTCTTTTGTGTACAAGCCGACAAAGCTGAAATCAAAAATTACCTCGAGTTTTGGCTGTGAGTGCTGCATGGAGGCTTGCATGAGATTGAGATTTCTTGGCTTGTATTCTAGTTTTTGGCCACTTGGCTCCAATAATTTCTTGATCTTTTGGAGATGTTTTGATCTTTTGGAGACCTGTTGCTGTTTTGGACTCAAAGCGGGGTTTTCGATACTATCGTTCCTATCGTCTCTTGCTTGAATCTTTTCAACAGCTACAAGATCATTCTTTCCATTGAATCCACGAGGCCTAAAGACGTCCACCGCAAGCTCATCATTCAATGGCCAAAAGCCGCCATATTGGATGTTTTTCTCTTCAAACTCCTGAAAAAGAACAAAATTTTAATTTGGTTATAAATCTTTCAAATAGTGACGGGGATGTAGTTCGCGGCTTAAAGGAAATTTTTTACGGTAGCCTCTGTTTTTATTTTATAAAACATCAGGTTTTATTAGGTTGTCCAATAAGTAATGCGTGTTTTGACACGATTTTCAAAATATCACAAAATTAACAAAAGGACGAGCATTGTCAAACTGCAGTTTAATCATCGAAGTGTCCTCTCCTTTACGACAAAGAGCTTGCTGCACTCTTTCCAATTGTTGAGAGTACAAGTCAGCAACGACTGGCCTTCCAGCGCGTTCCTCGTCCTCTAACGACTCGTTTCCGTCCGCAAATCGTTTAAACCAGCGCTGGCACTGACTGATTGAAATTGAATCCTCTCCAAATGCGGCACAGATAGTTCGATGGCAATCCGCTGCAGTTTTACCTCGTTTGAAATCATACAGCATTGATGCGCGGGCAACAAACTTTTTGTCTTTCATCTGCAAAACAACATATCTATTATAAAACAAAGGCAAATGAATAAAATAATATATAAAAATAAACACAAGATGCTGATGATTAAAAAGAGCATATATTTGCTCGAAGCGATTTCGCAATAGTTTCGAAATAAGTAACACGCATTACTTATTGGACAACCTAATATTATAAAAACGACAAAAAACACCCGGCTAAAGTGTTTTGATTTTTATTTTTAATTTTGAAATCTCCGAAGTTTCTCCGAAGAGTCGAGTAATCCTCGGATCAATTAAATTATTCCCTTCACTTGCTGTTAGTGCGCTAGAAAGGATACGTTTACATCAACGAGCACAAAGTACAATCTCTTGCTTTCAAATCCTTTCTATTTGATCAAATCCTTAATCAAATCCTTAATTTCTTTTGAATATTCTTAAGAAAATAGGGAACTAATGTGCCAGATGAGGGCGTTTACAGTTATGCACAAAGTACATCTATTAATGATTATTGAATTATTGCCTTCACTTGCTAAAGAACTTTTGAACAAAAGAGATCGATGGTTTCGATAGCCAACTGGTGTAAGAAAATATATATTTATATTTTGATCTATATAATTTCTTGTGAGACCGTGTCTCGGTGTGGTTCAATAGTGGTCTTCTTGAAAACGCACAATTTATCCAACTTTCCCTTATTAGGGCAAACTTCGCTCAAACTGGAGCAACCTGGCACTATCACAATTAATTCAACACTTGCATGTGAAAGAAAAGGATAGAGATAGCAAAAAGAAAGGAGAACCGAAAACTCACTCAAAAGTCAAGCTTAAATAACGGGTTTTTAAGTATACAAGCTACAACAAACGGACAGCTGAATATCGTCTAGTGACTGATTACGGTAGCTTATCCATCAACTTTGAACTTTAACTTGTGTATTGAATTTTTGACTAACTGCAGAGCAGTGGCGATTCGCCACAAAAATAAAAACATAGGGTTACCGTAAAAAAACATTTTCTTCGAGACCCGGCCGCAAACTGCACCCCACATCCGCGCGAAAATGGGAAATGGGTTCGCCGTTAGTTTGCTTGCACATATCCACTATTCGATGCAAAAATTGCGCTGAATCCGAATTTGAGAGTTTTTTTGAAAACCGTCTTATACAGAATTTTTTAATACAGAATACAGAATATTCAAGTGTTGGTGCTTCAATTGGCAAACAAGTTACCGAAGAGATATCAAGCGACTTCTAAGCCAACGCCAAATCCAACTACAACTTCGCCGATTTGATCTAGTCAAACGTTGTCGTTAATTGCAACGTTAACAAAGTAACCAGAGATGCTCACAGAATTTATGAACGAGCAACAGGCCTTTTTCCAAGTGAAGATAGTTTTCGGAACTCACTTTGATTCAGGCATAGTTTTCTCAATTTCGGACCATTTAAGTCATCTGATTTAAAAGAGTGTGAAAAACCTAATCGAGCAGATCCTATTAATGTTTCAATCTTTCTTAGAGGAGATCTAAGCTTCCTTGTATCAGGTCATTGGTATCAAAATGAGCGCAAGACACTCGTGCAGAAACGTTACGATGCGGAATTTTGCCGCTTTGCTTTTTTGGCGAGATTTGGCTCTCTAAGTGGAGCTAGGTTTAGCCGTTCCTATAGAAATTAATCAAGTTTTTTGCGATTTAAAAAAATTTTGTATAAGACGGTTTTCAAAAAAACTCTCAAATTCGGATTCAGCGCAATTTTTGCATCTAGTGGATATGTGCAAGCAAACTAACGGCGAACCCATTTCCCATTTTCGCGCGGATATTCACCCCTCCCCCTTTAATATTTTTCTAATAACCTTTCGAATTTCGCTCGATGTACGTGTGACTTCTGAAGCGGTTGGCCTTTGGTTAGGGTCAAAATGACAGCAACTGAAATGGGATGATTTGGAGATTGTCCAAGATTATTGAGAAATTAAAGGTCTCACAATAAAATCACCTCAACACGAGGTCGCGGATGATTTTTGGGCAACTCAACGTCTCGACCTCCTCAAGTGAGCCCTTGTCGCGGAAAACTGTCTTCAGCTCGTCTAACCCGAAAAACAGCCCACTCCCGTTATCATAAATGAATTGGGCGAAAAGTTGCCTTAAATTTTTTGTAATTAACTGAAACATATCAAAATTTAATTAGACGCCAACTAGACAACACTTCTAAGTTTTTGGGTTTGATCAAAAGTGAAATATTAGGTTGGCAACTAAATAATGTCGATCGTCTTTTCTTGAAAAAATCTGCTAATTTTTGCTCTTAATCTATTCTCTTTTATTGTTGATTGAATATTATTGATTATAAGTTTTTTTTATTCTTGATTTGAAACTTTTCATAAAATTTTGTTCAGAAATGGAAGATCTCAAATATCGTATGCGTGTTTGTCTCTGGTACGACTACAAACGAGACAAAACAGCTGCCGAATCCCACAGAGATTTATTGAAAGTTTTTGGTGATAAAGCTCTTTCCGAAAAACAATGTGAGAGATGGTTTCGACGGTTTAAGGATGAGGATGAAAAGCTTGAAGATGAACCCCAGCTTCTGCAGGACGATATTTTGGAAGCAGCTTTAAAGGAGGACCCAAGTCAAACATTACGAGAGCTCGGGAATCGATTGGGCTTCTCTCACACGGCAATCGAAAAGCGACTTCATGCGTTGGGAAAAAGTAACCGCAGTGGAAAGTGAATTCCTCATGAATTGAGCGACGAAAACAAGGCTTCTCGTCTTATCACTGCTGAAATACTACTGAGACTTGCGAAAAGGGGAGGCTTCTTGGACTCCATTGTCACTTCCGATGAAAAATGGATCTTTTATGATAATCGAACGCGAAAACGATAGTGGCTTAGCCCAAATGAAGACCCAAAACAGACTCCGAAGCCGGATATCCACTCAAAGAAAACTCTCCTCTGTGTTTGGTGGAATTCTCGTGGACTTGTCCATTTTGAGATTCTCAAAAGCGGTCAAACGGTTAATTCTGACTTCTATTCGTCACAACTACAACGCGTAGATCAAGCACTTCGCTCTCAAGGGGTCGAACCCTCTTCCATTCATTTTCTCCACGATAACGCAAAGCCACACACTGCAAAAGTGACGATGAAGAAAATTGTGAAGCTAGGCTGGAATGTTCTTCCTCATGCGCCATACAGCCCGGATATGGCGCCAAGTGATTACCATCTTTTTCGATCGATGCAACACTTTCTAGCTGAGAAAAAGTTCAATGATCTTGAAGAAGTCGGGATTTCGGCGCAGAAGTTTTTTGACGATAAACCAGAAGAATTTTTCAAGAGAGGAATCCAACTGCTCCGTCAAAAGTGGAAACAAGTAATAAAGAATGACGGAGAATACCTTTTGGATTGATGTTGTTATTCGTTCATCTTGTTGATAAATTCTTGTTGTTACTGAAAATCGACATTATTTAGTTGCCAACCTAATAGAAGTGAAAAATGATAGCTTGCCGTCTCTCGATGATCTCCCAACAAGTAATGCCCATCGAGTAAATATCGCTGGCAAAAGTGACCTGAAAATTGTTTCAAGGTCAACCAAATTTTCAACGTACTACAGCAACATATTATATTAGGTTGTCCAATAAGTAATGCGTGTTTTGACACGATTTTCAAAATATCACAAAATTAACAAAAGAGCACTTTATTAATCGATATATTCTCCACAACAATCAACAACATTTCTCCATCGTCCGAGCAAAGAGTGAAGTCCGTCATAATAGAATGAAGCTGGTTTCGATGAGAAGAAATCGTCGAGCCATTTTTGCACGTCGTCAACACTTTTGAACTTGTGTTCTCCAAGAGCGTGCGCCATCGAACGGAACAAATGGAAATCAGATGGAGCCAGGTCTGGACTATACGGCGGATGTGGGACAGTCGACCATCCAAGCTTCTCAATCTTCTGCTGTGCGATTTTTGCAATATGCGGACGAGCATTGTCAAACTGCAGTTTAATCATCGAAGTGTCCTCTCCTTTACGACAAAGAGCTTGCTGCACTCTTTCCAATTGTTGAGAGTACAAGTCAGCAGTGACCATTTGACCGGGGTTTAGAACTTCAAAATGTACGATTCCTTTAGAATTCCACCATACGCACAATAGGGCCTTCTTTCCATGCAATTCTGGCTTTGGCGTCGGTTTCGGATCTTCTCCCGGCGACAACCACTGGTGCTTCCTCGTTGCATTGTCAAAAGAAATCCACTTCTCGTCCGCAGTAACGATGGAATCAATAAAACCAGAGTTCTTTGTTTGGCCAATGAGAAACCCACAAATTGATACACGAGCAGCTTTATTCGCTTCACTCAATTTGTGGGGAAGCCACTTTCCGCATCGATTAAATTTTCCAATCTCATGGAGATGATTGACGATTATTGATTTGGAACAATCAAATAATTCGGCCAACTCACGAGTAGTTTGAGTTGGATCAGACTCAATGGTGTTAAGCAAAGCTTCGTTATCAAAAACGACTGGCCTTCCAGCGCATTCCTCGTCCTCTAACGACTCGTTTCCGTCCGCAAATCGTTTAAACCAGCGCTGGCACTGACTGATTGAAATTGAATCCTCTCCAAATGCGGCACAGATAGTTCGATGGCAATCCGCTGCAGTTTTACCTCGTTTGAAATCATACAGCATTGATGCGCGGACAACAAACTTTTTGTCTTTCATCTGCAAAACAACATATCTATTATAAAACAAAGGCAAATGAATAAAATAATATATAAAAATAAACACAAGATGCTGATGATTAAAAAGAGCATATATTTGCTCGAAGCGATTTCGCAATAGTTTCGAAATAAGTAACACGCATTACTTATTGGACAACCTAATATTTTTTAATACATATCAATAGAAAAACAAAAAGCTGAGCATTTTTACCTTCTCAACAAGTGGATCGTGAATCTCAGGGCTCATGTACCTCTCGGTGCCCACAAAGTGCCCTGTGACTCCCTCTTTGCCCGCACTCCCGGTCGATCTGGCTAGGCCAAAATCCGCGAGCATGAGATAATAGAAGGTTTGCACAAGAATACTGAATGCTTTAAAACTGAATTTGATTATTTTAAACAACTCACTTGTCCGGCTTGATATCTCGATGCAATTGGCCGATCTTTTCAAGATATTCCAAGGCCGAAAAGAGCTGCTCCATCCAGCAAATCACCGTGTAGATCGAATACTGGTAGATTGGATTGAAGATAACTAAAACTTGCTGAGAATAAGGATTTCGCACTTTTTCAAAGGCTGAGGCCATGGAAAACCGGCTTAAACAAAAGCCTAGACGAACCCAATCTAGAAGTCTTAAATTTTGTTCTTGAGCCCTTGCGCAAAGCCTTTTTTTCTTAGCTTAAAATTCAAGAACGAACCCTCTTTCAATGATTGCCTCTCCGCCATTTCCATGATGATCCCGATTTTTTCGCTTCCCTCCCCACTCTTCGTCACGTAACCAAAGCATTGCACGATGAGCTTGTGCTTATGGTTTTGTAATGTTCGAAGCTCTTTGTCGAGGGATTCTCGCCAGTTCAAATTTTCCGATGAAAACAATTTGAGGACCATTTTGCTGAATTGAGATATTCTTGACAATGGAATTGCAAGTGAAAATAGTAATCTATTTTTTAAGGATGGGAATCTCAACTAAGAATTTTTTCGGTGTCTATTCTATTTTGCATCTAGCACTCACACGGGATGCAATTCGGTGATCTTGTAAACGGTGGCATAGCCACCGTGTCCTAGTATGTTCTCCTTGTCCAACCATCCTTTGACTTTAGCCTCCGCCTCGGATAACGAGATGATTTTCGAGGATTTGAACATCGAATATTCAAAAAAGCCCTTAAAAGAAGTTTACGATTATCCAATAACTTTTTTAAAAGCAAATTGCAAAAGTAAGTTGTCACCGTAAACAGTATTAAAGAGTATGAATTGAATTTACTTTAAAATTTGTGTTCTTGTTGAGTTTTGCTTTTTTTTCTGAAAGTCTTCTTCCTTTTCTTTTATTTTTTTCCCTCAATTCATCCCTCTTTTTGGTGTTACTGATAAAAGTGAAAAAGGCAAACATATGACACATAAAGAGAAAAAACGAGAATGGGAGCCCATTAATTTTTTATTTCCAAAAATTCTAAGCGTTTTCGTTCCATTCCGTTTTACGTTTGCTGCATCACGGTACGCTGGATGATACAACTGAGCATTCCCGAAAATCTGCATTTGCGACATTATCGGATTGACTCCTGGTGGTGGCACGGGATGCCAATAAATTGTACACAATTCTTGTTTATGAAAATACACGATATTTAATTGACGGAGCGTGCAGCTAAAGAACTCTCTTCAATTTTGCATTTATCAAAATGAAAATAGCTTGGTTTACGGTAGATTCCACTCATAACTAAAGTGCAGCATTCAATATTTTTGCAAACTTTTTTCACTTTCCAATAGTATTAGGTTGATGCAAAAGTCTTTTTCATTTTTTTCGTACTTCTGTTAAAAAGTAACAAATTCACCAATTAATCTATAGTTTGCTCTATAAAAAAAGTGTTTTTTTGTTCAATTGGCATCTTTTTAAATGAATTTCGGTTGACTTTCAAGCAAATTCGAGAGTGAAAAACGCCTTTTTCGTAAAAATCTATAAAAAACTCTACGGAAAAATTGGCTGAATGAATTTCTCTGAAATTTTGGCGAAATATCAAACGTTTTTTTCTCTATCTTTTATCTATTGACACGAAGATAGGTTTTCTTTAGCTAAGGTGTCTAAACCGCATCATCGAGTTAGCCCTTTTTGACTACCCGACTTCATACTCTCAAGAAAATCCAGGCATTCAATATTTTTAAACCCGTTTTAATGTTATTTTGCAGAAAAATAATTGGTTTTTCTAATGAAATCAACCGTAGTTTAATTGGTGCATTTGTTGGCTTGAAACGGCAGACGAAAAAAATGAAAAAGACTTTTGCATCAACCTAATAAAAACATTTCTCTACATTGGAAAATAAATTTTTCACTTTTTTTACTTTTTCCAAAACAAAGTATAGTCAAAAACAGTTTTTTAAGGCTTTAAACTCTAAGGCTTTAAACTCTAAGGCTTCATACAACTTTAATTATTTTATTTTAACACTTTAACACGAGTTGTGATCCAGAAACAACAAAATTGATCCGGCTGGATGCGTAAAATGGAGATTTTAGTGGGTACAGAGTTGAGTCCAGGCTTCAATAGCAGCCTCAGCAAAAGTAATTACTGTCTTTCAGAGCTGAAAAGTCTTGTATCTATTTTTCAAATATCGTAGACATACTGAACGGAAAGCGATTATGATGATGTTGAAATGCACTTTGCGCTTTATCTTCCTATCGCTTTAAGCTTTCTAAGACTCACCTGTATCACTGAATTTCTCATTTCTTTTCGAAAAATTGATTCATTCAAAGTTTAGAGCCTTAAAAAACTGTTTTTGACTAAACTTTGTTTTGAAAAAAGTAAAAAAAAAGATAGAAGTTGAAAAATTTTCAGATTTTTGACTTTTTTGCCTTGACTAAAACTAAAAATATACTCGTAACTGCCTTTTAAAAAGTGAGGAACCCATATGAGGAACACATTCTACTTAGAGGCGAATCATTCGACATTTTCTCATAAACCCTTTTGTTGTTTCTTTGGGCTAAAAAAAGCCATCATTGACAATTGTTAGGGATAGGAATTGAATGAATAAAAATAAACATCGACTCCAATCGACTATATCTTATAAATAGTATTTGTGCGTTTGAAGTATTTGTGGGCAACACGTTCAGAATTAAAAAGAAATACTATTTTTGTACAATATTATTTTTGTAAAAAGAAATACAATTTCACATTTATCACATTTGAGCTTCTTTTCTTTTTTTGACTTAGTATTGGATAGCGAATCGGCTCTTATAAGGTTTAGGAGAATGTTGAGTAAATAGTTAGAACTGCAAATGAATAGCACTTATGTTTTCTTTCTTTCAAACCAAAATGGCTCTACTATTGAGAAAGCCAAGGCTGATAAGCATAGCTAAAGAAAATCGGGTACATATGGGTTATCTCCTCCGCACTCTTTCATATGGGTTCTGATCGAATTATTCATAGCTGATCAAATCGATCGAATTATTCATACATCATCAAATTGATCGAGCTATTGATATCTCATCCAAATTGATCGAATTATTCATAGCCATAACTCATCTGTAATTGATCCCCCAATAGAACAGCCCCTTTAATAGATACTTCTAATACAGTGCGTTTCAAATTCTTAAACGCACCCTCTAAAATAGCGAATTTGGCTTTTTGACCACCGCTACAACTATTAATCTTTTTCTATTAGAAAGAGCATGTCTTAAAACCTAAAAAACACGAAAAATAAGCATACTGTCAAAAATAAAAATTTTCAAAACAGAAACTTTTTGCTAAATCAACCGTTTCAAATTCTTAAACGCACTATGAAAATATTTTTATTTATCGACACAAAATAACAATCAAAGGTAAAAAACCAAAACTAATAATCTGTACACGCACCAGAACGATTAACTACGTGAAAAATGCGGCCTGGCATTGAGTTGATGAGGTTTTGAAAAGCCAAGACGTCGAGATAGCTTCAAGCCAAACGGATCGCTGTTTTAAGTACAAAATACGTCTTGAAACTGACGATGATTTTTGTAGGCAGCTTGGACAAGTATTCGGAATCAATTCCCTATCGGATTGACGTCAGGAGATCGAGCGGGTCAGTCCAAAGTTGCAATGTTGTTGTTGTTCAGCCGGTCTCGGGTGTCTCCGGCTCGATGAATTGACGCGTTGTCGTATTGAAACAAATCGGGAACGGTTGGATTTAGGAGCAAAAACAGTAACAAGCAATTGTTCAAGATATATATTGAGTCATCCGATTCGAAACCATCTTCAGAGCGACCGTTCCATCAGCACAAAAGGCGGCCCAAACTATCACAGAACCACCGCCAAAGTTTCGAGTCCCAAACACCATCGGATCACGTCGAAGGTCCCTCCAATAGTAGCCAACGCCATCGGGGCCATCCAAATTCCATTGCTTCTCATCGGAAAAGATCACCTAAACGCAAAAAAAATAATAAAACATAAGCGGCTTTCTAACCATAGACCAATCCTGATTCATATGAGCTTTGGCGAACGCCAATCGGGCTTTCTTGTGCAAAAGCGTCACAGCCGGTTGCTTGTTCAACAAGTGTCGATCGATATGTGAATTTTCCGTGACGGCTCGCCAAATTGTCGACTTCGAAGCGTCGATTTTCCGTTCCGTTTTCACGTCATTGATCGTTTTTCCGTGGATGTCGTTCACAAAATGGCGTCTAGCTCGCGGTGCAAGCTTTTGTTTTCGCCCTGGGTTCTTCTTTGGTGCAGAAACGAACTCAACTTTATATAATTTTGCCGGCAGAGTCGGATTGGCCCAAATTTTTTGCGATTTTCCTTATTGAGTCGCCAATCCTCAAACCGCATCAATCTGGCCTTCCTCATAATCCGTGAGCAGCTTTCCGTGTGCCATTTACTTGGAAATTAACAAAAATTATAAATTTAAGAAAAAAATATGCACAACAAAACGAAAAATTTCAAATAACAGCAGCAAAGGCGGATGCGTTTAAGAATTTGAAACGGTTGATTTAGCAAAAAGTTTCTTTTACTTCTTGTAAAGGATGTGGACTAGATTTGGGTTATTAAAGAGAGTGATCCCTTTTTATCCCCCATCTCTAACACCCCAACCCAACCACCTCCAACTAGGGAGTCCCAAATACGACCTGTAGTTGCACTGTATTGCATAACGAAGATACATATCTTTATTTACAGTAATACAAAAAGAGCCAAGCCCCCCCCCGCAACTAGGACCCCCCTCAAAGGGAGCAAGAGAATTGAAAGTAAAAAAAAACTATTTTGAAAATTTTTATTTTTGACAGTATGCTTATTTTTCGTGTTTTTTAAGTTTTAAGACATGCTCTTTCTAATAGAAAAAGATTAATAGTTGTAGCGGTGGTCAAAAAGCCAAATTCGCTATTTTAGAGGGTGCGTTTAAGAATTTGAAACGCACTGTAGATGCAAATTATAAAACGCATTTTGAGTGGGTGGGAGATAACCCATATGTACTGAAAATCGATGTTGAAAACGAATTGAGAACTTTTTCAGCGAATGAAGCTTTTTGTGGTTGCCATTCTTTTGGAGATCGCTTGGGTGCCAAGGCTGGAGGCATGGTGTTGTGGTGTGCCCTGTTGTGGGATATTCTCCGTGGCTACAGTAAGCTAAGCATCACTTCGATTTGGTTACATATTTCAAAGGGTTTTCATTTATCAAAGAAAATCTCATTTTTTAAAGAAAGTCTTCTGTAAAGAGGTGATTTTTCACCGACGAAAACCTGCCTTCTACCTCTTCCAGAAAATCTCTTGCCCAATCAACTGGGAGATTTTTGGTATCAAATTGTGTAGAAATGTGCAATGGTTATTTTTACTTAAAAGAATCTTTGAAAAGATTTGATTTGTATTTGAACAAAGTTAGAAAAGTTTTTGAGAGTAGAGTTCCGACTTTTGGTTAGAAATATGTTAAAAAATGCGTAAAAGAGACAAAATCCAAGAGTTTCACCAATTTTCCAGTGTCTCGGCATTGAATGTAATGTTTTTTGTTGCAATTGCAATAACCACAAACTATGCTTGATGCCCGAGTGGGGCCTTCGACTCCAATCCGCAGGTGAAATCAAAGACAATTTTGGTCCTAGCTGATGTTTTCAACAAGAATCAGTATTTTTTTGTTTAGATTTTTGTTTAAATATCATAGGGCAGTGCAAATTATTCATTTTTATAACAGAAAAGCATACAACAAACCACAGAAAAGCATACAACAGACTACGTCAAACAAACAACAAACTACAACAAACTTTGAAACCCAAATATTTCCAACTTATTAAGCGTTTAAAAAAGAATTTCAAGAGCAGTTTTATAACACTTTAATTGTTGTTTTCAAAAAAGAATACAGCAATTAATTTCCAACACGACATAACAAAAAAATATAAAGGAAAATTAGCCGAAAAAAACCCTTATATGACTAATATAAACAGTACAATTTATAATACCGTAATAATTCTAATAGAAGACCTGGTCTTCTAATTTTCAACCCCCTTCCCCAAAGGGTCTTCTATTAGAGACTGGTCTTGAATTTGTCAAAGCTTTAGAGAACGATTTTAGGAAGCAACCCTTTTTAAAAATCAGTCACATTTGTATCATCACTTTATTCACTTAGTTAAAGCAACAATTAACAACAATAACAACAAATAATTATTAACATAAAACATAAAACAATTTGAAAGGAGCAAATCCGTTAAAAAGCCTCAATTTAATTTTCATTAATGTCATTGATTTCAATCGAGGCATCGCTTTCGTAATCCTTGTTTTCCTCGTCTTCGCCCAAATCAATTTCATCCAATAATTGAGCAACCATCTCATCATTTCGGGCGAGTTGCGTATTTGTGAGGGTTCGGCCACCTCCTTTTAACCTCTTGTATGATTTCCCCATCTTTCGCAATCGTTTTTCTTGCGAAATCCATTCGCGAATCATCTTTCTGCTGACTTGAAACTTTGTGTTTGCAACATTCTTTGAGATCGTCTTTGCAAATTCAATTGTTTCTAACTTAAACTCGATCGAATATGCCTTCCGTTTGTTTCCATTCTTGAGCAGTTCCGCTTCGAGAGCCTCCAAAGCATTCTCCGAATCTTGATTCATCTCGTTTTCATTCTCCTTTTCTCGTTCCTTGAAGATTTCAAAGTCGTCTCCTTCATCTTTTCGAATATCTCGATACTCCTCCAGAGAATCCGTGCGAATTGGCAGTCGCTCAGCCATCAGCCCTGAAAATAAACACATTATTTATTTTAAGACAAGAAACAAGAATTACAAAAAACACTAGTAGGAAAGAAATAATAACTTTGCACAATGATTTTTACAAGAAAATCTGGGTGGTAGCGGGATACGGTAACATAGTGCATTTTAAGAGTTTGGGTCTTCTATTAGAGACTGGTCTTCTATTTTTCAACCTCCCTTCAAAAGGGTCTTCTATTGGAGACTGGTCTTCTATTAGGTTGATGCAAAAGTCTTTTTCATTTTTTTCGTCTGCCGTTTCAAGCCAACAAATGCACCAATTAAACTACGGTTGATTTCATTAGAAAAACCAATTATTTTTCTGCAAAATAACATTAAAACGGGTTTAAAAATATTTAATGCCTGGATTTTCTTGAGAGTATGAAGTCGGGTAGTCAAAAAGGGCTAACTCGATGATGCGGTTTAGACACCTTAGCTAAAGAAAACCTATCTTCGTGTCAATAGATAAAAGATAGAGAAAAAAAACGTTTGATATTTCGCCAAAATTTCAGAGAAATTCATTCAGCCAATTTTTCCGTAGAGTTTTTTATAGATTTTTACGAAAAAGGCGTTTTTCACTCTCGAATTTGCTTGAAAGTGAACCGAAATTCATTTAAAAAGATGCAAATTGAACAAAAAAACACTTTTTTTTATAGAGCAAACTATAGATTAATTGGTGAATTTGTTACTTTTTAACAGAAGTACGAAAAAAATGAAAAAGACTTTTGCATCAACCTAATAATAGAGACTGGTCTTCTATTAGAATTATTACGGTACATAATAAAATTAAAATTCAACCACATTTCCTATGCATCTTTTGAAAACAAGTCAGAGAAAAATGAACTTTGCAGCGACTGCATCTTGAATTAACTTTTTTAGCATGATCCTGCGCTTTTTTTGGTTATCCCATTTTTTGCGATTTTCTTGATAACATCCAGGAGATTTCTAGTTTATTGTAATTTTTTTCACCCTCTGGGCACTCTCGTCTCAGATGCAATCCATGCCCAGGTCAGCCTTGTCGTTACTTTGTTAAAAGGCCACCTTGACTCTATGCCTTTCCCTAGTGAGCGTCGCGTAGCTTAAGTTGACGCCCATGCAAATGGCCATCACTCACTCGCTACAATTACACTCAATTTTACGCATCAAATTCAACGTTTCTAATGTTTTTTAGCTTAAAACCGTATTTCACGATAAAAAAAACAAAAACACATTTTTTTGATAAAAAAATGATAAAGTTGGTGACTACGTGACAATACGGGGCGGCCATTTATCGGAGAGTGACTTTATGTGAACGTTTTACTTTCTAACTTTAGCACAACCTGGATACAAATTTGCTGAGTTCGATGAGAACTCAGATGGGCAAATCGACCGAAACGAGTTTTTGATCGCTCTGGGGGATTACAACGAAACGCTCGAGGCGAAACACCCGAAATGGTTTGTGATGCACTAATCTTTTTTGGCATAAGACGACTTTTTTGAAAGTTGATCTTACTGAAATGAAAATTGCCCATTTGAATAAGACTAGTAGGTTTGAGTCAATGGACAAAAATGGCGATGGCTGGATTCAACCGTCCGAGTTCGATTCGAGCCTTGAGTAGTCAAAAAATAAAAAAACACAGTGAATAAATTGTCTTTTTTGCTTTTTTAGATAAAATTCTTGCACATAGTTACGTAATTCAAAAAAAATTGCTGTTTTCATTTCTTGAATCATTCAAAATTGGACCATCCTGTAGAGTTCTTTTTTGGCACACAATTCTTTTTTGTCAAATCACGTTCAACTAGAGAATTCTTTGATACAAATCAAAGAAAATACGGATTTACTTGCGCAACCTTTGCTGTCTTCATAAGCAATCAGATACAGAACCAAAGCATTGCACGATGATTGATCAATGATTGCCTCTCCGCCATTTTCACGATGATCCCGATTTTCTCGCTTCCCTCCCCGCTCTTCGTCTTCAATCCAATTTCTTCAATTCAATCGTCTTCAATCTTCAATTGTCACGTAACCAAAGCATTGCACGATGAGCCTGTGCTTATGGTTTTGCAAAGTTCGAAGCTCGAGGGATTCTCGCCAGTTCAAATTTTTTGATGAAAATTTGAGGACTATTTTGCTGACAATGGGATTGCAAGTGAAAATAGTAACCTATTTTCTCAAGGATGGGAATCTCAACTTTCAGAATTTTTTCGGTGTCTATTCTATTTTCGCATCTAACCCTTACACAAAAAACGATCGCTCTTCGGGATCTTGTATAGAGTGAGGACCTCTTGGTTAAATTTGCATATCTTGATTGAATTTACATAATTTCGCTAAATAATTAAATGCATAATGGTTGATTAATCAATGAATGAATGCAAATTAGTTCATTTACTTTGCTTTCAATTTCTCCCTTTCTCTTTCTTTTTTCCTCTAGCTTTTCACCCAAAACATTCTTTTAGGTTAGACGATTTAAACTCAAAGAACTCGATAATATGCAGAAAGCAGAATGTAGTTAAAGCAGAATGTAGTTATAGGCAATGTAGGTAGACTTTTCCGGATAGCCAATGTTATTTTAAGAAATTGGTGCTTTGGTGGTTGGCGAGGGGGGGGCACCTATATCTTCAAGATTTTCTCTTTTTCCGGCGTAATCGAGGGCGCTGATCACGAATTTCGCATTTTCAACATAGATTTGCTTTTTCGACCCCGAAAGTAACGCAAAATCAATGCTTTTTGGTAATTTCGTATGCAAACTCGGGCTTTATATGCAAATTTGCGTGTCTACATTTAGCTTTGTGAGCGTTTAGCCGTAATGGCGCATAGTTGAAGCTGCACTTAGGCAGGCGCCGGATTGGGGGCGGGTGCTGCAAGCTCTACAGGAAATAGTTGGTGATGTGTCTGAGCTATCTCTAGAGAGCTTGCAACACCCATCCCCACGGCTAGCCTGCCTAAGTGCACTGCCCAACTATGCGCCATTAACGGTGCCTCGACCTTTTGTCAATTTTTTAGTTTTTTAGTTGTCTAGTTTTTTTTTCCCAAGTCAGTTTTTTAAAAACAAATCCATGTTGAAAATGCGAAATTCGTGCTCAGCGCCCTCGATTACCCCGGAAAAAGAGAAAATCTCGAAGATATACAGTGGTCCACAAAAGTATTGTCCCATTGTCATCCAAAAGTTTCTTTCGTACGAAAATCTTGCAAAAAAACGATATTCTCAAAAAGTGTAGGATTTTTTACTTACCTATAATACTCTACTTTTCAGGATTATAAGATTTATCCGTATACATTGCATAAAAATTAAAGTATGAAACAAAAACAATAAGTTATTTAACAAATATTAGGTTGGCAACTTAATAATGACGCGTCACTACTTAACATGTTTTTTGTAATTTCAAGCACCGTTTCTTCCCTCTTTTTGCATATATACAAAGTAAAAGATGTCTGCATAAATAGCATTTAGTGCTACAAATTTCACCATTCGCTTTTTGGCAAAAAATGGAGGACAAAAAATTCCGTATTCGAGCTGTATTGTTCTACGATTTTAAACAAGGAAAATCTCCAGCTGAATCTTATCACACGATCATCACTGTTTTGGAGAGGAAAGTATACACATTCGGCAATGTCAACGATGGTTTCAAAGATTCCAAGGCGGCGATGGAAGCCTCGTAGACGAGCCACACCAAGGACATCCTCCAGAAGTGGTCGACGATGACTTGCTCGCCTTAATTGAAGATGCCCAACACTCACCGTTCGTGAGTTGGCAGAAATATTTTAAGTATCCCATACGACAATCGAAAACTATTTACACACTTGGGAAAAAGAATCGTGTTGGAAAATGAGTTCCTCACGAATTGACCCAAAGCAACAAAATAGCCCGTGTCAATGTCGCCTCAATTTTGCTACAAAAAGTAAATCGAACGACTTTTTCACTTCTGACGAAACGTGGATCAACACGAGAACGTTCAACGCAAAACAATGGCTATCTGCTGGGCAGACCCCTCAAACCACTCCCAAACCTGATATCCATGGGAAGAAGATATGCTCTGTTGCTGGTGGAACTCAAGGGATTGGTGCATTATGAAGTGCTAAACCTGGCCAAATCGTCGATGCTGATCTTTATTCGAAGCAATTAATGAGAGTTAACGAGTCTTTGAAGAAATTGGGGCTCAAACCGGAGAGAGTCAGATTTTTACGCGAGAACCCAAAATCTCACACTGCAAAGATCATTTATAAGAAAATCGTGGAACTTGGCTGGAAAGTTTTGCCCCACGCGTCTTATTCACCTGATCTGGCTCCTTCAGATTACTTTTTTGTTTCGGTCGCTGAAGCACTTTTTGGAGGGAGAAAAGTTCGATGATCATGCTCAGGTCATAAAAGCAGTGAATGACTACTTCGCCTCAAAAACTCCCAAGTTCTTCGAGGATGGGATCCGGGATTTGCGCAGAAGATGGGAAGAAGTCATAGATACTAATGGAGAATACCTTTCGAATTGAAAGCTCTTCTTTTGTGTTTTTTTGAAATAAATGATTTGTTACATAAACCGCGTCATTATTAAGTTGCCAACCTAATAGCTCCACAAAAGTAATGTCCCATTTGCAAAGAATTAACAATTTTTTCAGAAAATTAATATTTGGTTGGTCCTTCTTTTGCTTTTATCGCTTCATTGAGTCGATCCGGCATGGAAACCACGAGATTTTTCAAAAGACTTGGGCGGATGGTGGCCCAAAGACGTTGAATGTGAACCCAGAAGGCGGCCTTCGAATCGAATTTCTTTCCTTTGAGGCGCGACTTCACAAATGACCACAAATGTTCAATTGGATTGAGATTCGGTGAGTAGGGAGGTGGATTGATCAATTTAACAAGATTTGCCGCAAACCATCCGGGCAGACGAGCTCTGGTACCATTTTGAAGTGTCACCAACCGTCCCATCATCAGTCTCGACTTGTGTTTCGGGTCATTGTCCTGGTAAAGCATCCATCCGGGAGACATCGTTTGATTGGCAAAGGGAAGCATTTGGGTCTCCATAATATTCTTGTAAGCCACAGCATCCATCGTCGAGTTCACGTAGACTAACGGACCTACTGAAGTTCGAGACATCGCTCCTAAAGAAAAAAAATCTAGGTAACAAAATACTAAAAAGGTTCTTACCCCAACACATTATGTTTCCGCCGTTGAATTTCACGGTAGGCCGAATGCACTTGAGTGCGTATCGCTTTCCAGTCGGTCGCCGAATAAGATGGTTTCCATCCGCGTGAAATAAATTGATTTTTGTCTCATCGGTAAATAACACTTTCGCCCAATCACGTGTCGTCCAACTTCGGTAGGTCCGTGCAAAGTCAAGGCGTTGCTTCCGGTGCTTAGATTTTATCAGAGGTTTACGGGCAGCCCTTCTTGCATATAATCCAGCTTGATTTAATCGTCGTCTGATCGTTTCCGGCGATACAACCATGTTAAATTGATCCCTCATCATTTGGCTTCCATCGGTTGATGTTTTGTTAGGATCGTTTTTCACCATTTGGATCACGGCTCGATCTTCTTTTGTGGTTGTGATTGCTCGTTGGCCACTCTTGATGCCTCGATGAAGGTTTCGGTCGACTTTTGATTGAGAAAGAATGCGGCGCACCGTCCTTATCGAGCAGTTGAAGAGGTTGGCCACATCCTTTTCCCGCATCCCATTTTCCCGGGCCTTGGCGATTCGGAGCTTCTTCGGAGTGTCAAGGTTTTTCTTGCCAGCCATCTAAATAATAAAATAAAATACATTTAATGTTCATAGAACGCGAAAATAAAAAGAATAGTCAAGGAAATCATCAATGGGACATTACTTTTGTGGAGCTATTTGTTAAATAACTTATTGTTTTTGTTTCATACTTTAATTTTTATGCAATGTATACGGATAAATCTTATAATCCTGAAAAGTAGAGTATTATAGGTAAGTAAAAAATCCTACACTTTTTGAGAATATCGTTTTTTTGCAAGATTTTCGTACGAAAGAAACTTTTGGATGACAATGGGACAATACTTTTGTGGACCACTGTAGGTACAAAGTATCAAATTTTTCCGTATGTTTTTACTTTATCTCTTCGTTTTTCCCCTTATCTCCTTACCAATCGAAACATTGTCAGCAAATCCTCGTCCGTTTGTAGAATGGACTGAAAAATCTCCTCGGAACATTTCCGGATCTGCCTTTCCGACAATTTGAATCTGCCCCTCCATCTCAACCACGATTTTCATCTCTAGTGTGGCAGTTTATGAATGAAATTATGCAAAATGGAAATAGCTTTGCATAAAAAGTTATGCAGTTCTAGTTTTTCGTACACCTCAACTTCATCTATGCGTTACCATTTGAACGTATTCGAGTTTATTTTTTCTTGAAACAATCATAAAGACTTATGGATTGAAAGACTAAAATTAAAAATAAAATGAACGATACGAAGCCATAAATAAAAAGCAACGAATGAAATTAAATATTGGTGCGGCTTATTTATAGTGAATTATTAGCCCACAAGAGAAAACCTAAGATATTCAGTCATTTGCCTACAAATCTATTAACCGACCCTTTGACCAACGTTTTCTCCGGTTAATGTCTTTCTTTGTGAATTGGTTCTTTTTGAATACAAATTTTTAACCAACAGGAGTCCACTCAAATCTTGTAGACGGTGGCATAGCCGCCGTGTCTGAGTATGCTCTCCTTGTCCAACCATCCTTTGATTTTGGCCTCGGATAACGAGATGATTTCCAAATATTCGGACATCGGATATTTTGCTGAATTGAGATATTCTTGACAATGGAATTGCGCGAGTGGTTATCCGCAATCAATTCAAATGATATTCACTCAAGAGGAGCCTCACGGAGTGCCCAGTCGCTTTTGTCTATCCAGTCGTGAAAACAAGTTTGAAGCTGAAGATGGCGAAGAAGATTCAAATGATTGGCGCCTATACTTGGCCGTTGATGGCCACTATTCAAAGCTGTAAATGTTTGAGGGTTGTTTTCAAGAATGACACTCAATACCCACAAGTGCCGATCTTCCCACAGGGTTTCTCCCATCACCGAGTGTTGACCGCTGACCCGAACCAGCAGAATCACTTGCCAGTGCCACCACCGGGAATTAATCCGATAATGTTGCAAATGCAAATGTTCGGAAATGCCCATTTGAATCACCCAGCGTACCGTCAGGGTCCCATGGTGCAGCAAACGCGAAACGGATCGCTGATGGCAATGGGAAACGCTCCAGGGATGATGCAAGCTGTCGGAAATGTGTCAATTGGCCAAACTCCAGTTGGGGTGAATTTTCAAAACCCAGCTGTTTACGAAGGACCACCAAGGAAACGTCAAAGAGCCAATGATCGAGTGATGCATTCATTCTCGATCTCGAAATTTTTGCCACAAATCCCGATGCTTTGCTCTTTAGACTTGAAAGCGAGAACCCTTGACCAATTGCGGCTCGCCATTGAAACTTTGAATGCGAAAGTTTTCGGTCACTTTTCTACAGATCCACCACCCTCGTGGCCAATTTATCGTTACTTAAATGAGAAAATTGATCAACAACTGTCAAATTGCCGCTCGATCTCGATTTGTGGCCCGTTGGAGCTCTACTATGAGAAACTCTCAAGGTCAACGATTCAAAATATCAAATTGCACTCTTGTGAGTACTCGACTTTTCAGATGACCGTTTTAAAAGTCCTTCAAAGCAAAATCCCCAGTTTGTCTTCAACGGCACAAATTGTAATCACCGTTTGTGGAGCTCAAATCAATGAATTTGAAGAAATCGACGAGATGGTCAATAATCAGTTGGGGCTTTTGAAAATATCAATTCATTCATGGGAAGCTTTAAGAATTTTGGAGACTCTGGACCGAGAAAAGGAAATCACAAGGCTTCGTTGCTACAAAAATCAAATCGAAAGCGGGAGAACTTGCTATTTCTCGTTGAAACTCTCCTTCGAAAGCATCTACCAGTCGAATCTCGAATTTTCCGCTCTTTCTTGCTGATATTCATTGCTTTCTACCATTTGTCTCAACGTTTTTTCTCAAAGCAAAATCCCCAGTTTGTGTCCAAATGCACAAATTGCAATCACCGCTTGTGCAGCTCAAATCAATGAATTTGAAGAAATCGACGAGATGGTCAATAATCAGTTGGGGATTTTGAAAATATCAATTCATTCACGGGAAACACAAAAAATTTTGCGATCCTTGAATTTAAAAGAGTCAATCACTCGCCTTCGTTTCTACAAAAAGAAAATCGATTTGAAAATTTTCTTTCCTCAAATCCATTCTTGCAATGATCTTTCTTTTGGTTCTAATTATATTTTATTTATTTTTTTGGCAACCACTTACGGAAGCTGTGCAAAGAATTTACATTTGGATGATGTTTTTTTGAGTAGATCTTTGCTAGAGCACTGAATTCTTTTGTTACAGTGAACTGAAGCATCGAACCCAACTCTAAACCCTTTCCTTTGCCCCTCAAATCCTTTTCATCGCTCAATTACAGGTTCTGAAGGTTACGTTTCTTCTCCCAACTCTCCGCGTTTCCTCTCACCAACCACTTGTCTTTCTCTTCAAAAGGAAACAATCGTCTCATTGTCTTCACGAAATGGCGATTGTAATAGTGATCGATTAGGGACACTGTGTTAAAAATATTGTAGTTGATACTGTAGTTATTTTTCTGGGATTTGCTTCGTTTATTCACATAGTATAGAGATTGCTTTCAATTATCCACCCAGCAAGCTAAAAGATTAGAGATCTAACTGTAGATCTAATACAGTAACCTAGAGTCAGCTAGAATAGTCTACGATAGGCTACAGTATTCTAACAGTAGCCTACCGTAGTCTACAGCAATCTTCTATAGTCTACAGTAATCTCCAGTAACCTGCAATAGCCTTCTATAACCTACAGTAGCGTACAGTAACGTACAGTAGCGTACAGTAATGTACTGCAGCCTGACAGTAGCCTACAGTAACTCTACAAAGCTTAAACGAACCTTCAGTAACCTACAGTAACCTATAGCACCCACAGTAACCTACAGTAATCTTACAGCACCATATAGTAACCTTCTATAGTCTACAGTAATCTACAGGAACCTGCAATAGCCTTCTATAACGTACAGTAGCCCACAGTAACTCTACAAAGCTTAAACGAACCTTCAGCAACCTACAGTAACCTACAGTAATCTTACAGCAGCATACAGTAGCCTTCTAGTCTACAATAATCTACAGTAACCCTACAATAGTCTATAATCTATATGCGAAAAACTTACCGTAAATGTGAATGTCTAAGCAAATCCTAATAGATTTCTCTTAAGTTTTCTCATTTTTTTTTGATGCCTTTTCGTCTCCCGAGCTCCCTTTTTTGCTATCCCCCCTTCTCGTTGCCTCAAATATGGGTTTCACTTTGTGCTTTGTACTTCTTTTTGTTCATTCGACGTTTGAAATGTTTGATAAAGACTGGAAATTTATATTAAAACAATTCACAAAAGAGTTTTTTCAAGTATTTTTCATTTTATTTATGAAATCTCTCATAAGTTGGTGGCAAATCGACACGAGAGATCTCTTCTCGATCTCCCTTTTTTTTTGCCTTTTCCATTTAGATCCCTCGAACTTGGTTTAGATGAATATTTAGATTATTCAAAGAGATCAAAGATCTTTTGCTAGGTCTATAATTCTTATATCATTTTTGGGTTCTCAGTTTTCTTGTCGATTTGTAGAACTTTTTCAAGCTCTAGTTAGTAATACAACTGTTTTCTGTGCATCACACAATCGTTTACCTTCTGGCACCCAAAACTTAAACCGGGTAATTAAACCGACGTATGGGCTTTCCGGTCTCCCTTATCCCGGGGCAATGTGTCAGACGCCGCTTTTTCTTACGAGCGACATGGAAAGAACGCGCAATTGACCTTCCATGATCGGGGCGGTGTGTTCTTTCCCTGACGCTCGTAAGAAAAAGCGGCGTCTGGCACACTGGACTTGGATAGGGGCCGCCGGGAATCCCCTCAGCCGGTTTAATTACCCAAGTTTAGGACGCGATGAGGCACGCGTTTATAGGAAACCAAAACCCAAAAGAAAATCGTCTTTTTCAGATTCCAAACCTTTTTCTAAATGATTAATTTCACTCAAAGTTGAAATTTTGAAAATATGAGAATTTTTTCTTTTCATTAAAAGGTCAAAGACCTCTCGTGTTCAGAGCACACTCGAATGTCCATTTTCCCTGAAACCCAAAACTTGGGTAATTAAACCGACCTATGGGCTTTCCGGTCTCCCCTATCCCGGGGCAATGTGCCAGAGGCCGCTTTTTCTTACGAGCGACATGGAAAGAACGCACAATTGACCTTCCATGGTCGGGCCATTGTGTGTTCTTTCCCTGTTCGCTCTTAAGAAAAAGCAGCGTCTGGCACATTGTCCAGAGGGAAGAGACCGGGAAGCCCTGTCAAACGGTTTAATTACCCAAGTTTGGGAGGCGATTTTGGGAAGCCAAAACTTAGAACAAAATCGTCTTTTTCAGATTCCAAACCCTATTTCTAAGTGATTAATTTCACTCAAAGTTGAAATTTTCAAAATATGAGAATTTTTTCTTTTCATTAAAAGGTCAAAGACCTCTCGTGTTCAGAAAATGTCCATTTTCGTCTCAAAGTTTTCAGTTTTCTTCTCGATTCTCTTATTTCCCGTCAGTTTTGATGAAATTTCCCCAAATGTACGTTTATTGTAAAGTAGTGCTTGACCGTTTATTGTAAAGTAATCTCTTTTCAATCGTCTCTTTTCTTCTTTTTCTCCTTTTTCTTCTTTTTCTTGTCTTTATTTTCCACTAATAGAAGAATCAGCTTCTTTTTTTTCGTTTAGTATTAACCAATGACCTCTTAGAGTCATTTGGACTTTGTTTAGTTCAAATTTAAATCAATTGTCATTTATTGATTTAAATCAAGCTTTAGATTGTCAAATTCGAATGCCAATTGCTTAACTTAAGCAATTCTGTTCTTGTTTTTGGCTTTAAAAGTTACCCCCCGCTTGTTTTTGGTTTAACACAGTGATCGTTTGGGTATTAGCACTTATCTATTCATCATAGCCAACTCCAGAACTCTCCATAGTTCATAGAGACAATTTTCTAGACAAAATCGGCCCAGGCAAAGTCAAAGCTCTTGGATGGATGGCTCTTGATCTTGGGCATGAATTCCCACATTTTACTTTCTAGAACATCAATCCCCTTCCAGTTTGCTTCCACTTTTTCCATCAAATTTTGGCTTTAAACTGGCTGGCTTTGGTCTTGGCTGACTTAGTCTTGTTCTTGTTCTGGTTTAGCCTCTATCTGACTTAACTTACTATTAGCTGGCTTGGTTAGTCATAGCTTTTGGCTTTTGGCCTTGATCTTGGCCTTGGTCAGTCCGGTTGTCATAAACTGTTTTTTTTTCTACTTTCTGAAGCCAGAAGGCTTCAAAAAAAGCGAAAAATTGATGAATTACCAGTTTTTCGTTTAAGAATTGGCTAAGCAGTCTAATCGTGACTGTCATCACCTCATTTCATTCTCCTTTTTCTTTTTCTTTTTCTGTTTCTTTTCATTCTCCTTTTTCTTTTTCTTTTCTTTCTTTTCCATTCAATCATTTCACTCAATCAAGAGGTCGACCTCAATAAAAAGAGGAAAACGTTCTCATATCCTTTTTCTCTTTCTTTTTTCTTTCTTTTCTCTTTTCTTTTCCTTTCTCAAGAGTTAACCACTCTCTCTTTTCCCTCAAATGAACTTTTAGCCCTTTTAGCCCTTTTAGCCCTTTTAGCCCTTTTAGCCCTTTCTTGCTTCAATCTTTCCCACTTTCATAAGACAAAGCCGCGGAGATCATTTCGATTTCTTTAGAGTTTCAACTTTGAAGAAGAGTTCCTGCGATTTTCTCTTTGATTTTCTCATCAGATCATTGATTGATTTGAACGAATTTAGCAATTCTGATATTCTGGCTGAAGTTACAGGGTTTGTATTGCCGGTTACAGGACTTGATTGTCTGTACCTTTATTGAGATCTCTATGTACCTTTTACCTATATCTGCCCAAGAGTTTCTGTGATTTCCTCTTTGATTTCCCGTTTTCTCATCAGATCATTGATTGATTTGAACGGGTTTCGTATTCTGGTATTCTAGCTGAAGTTACAGGGCTTGATTGTCTCTACCTTTATTGAAATTTCTGTCAACCTTTTACCTATACCTGTCCAAGAATCGATTTCCACTTTTAAGATTCTCTTGTTCCTTGTTTTCAAGACTTTTGTTGCCTTATCTGGACCTGTACTTATATATTCCTGTACTTTACTTAACGAAGGTTATGTAAAGAAAGTTCAGAAGAAAGTTAAAAGAAAGTAAGTTAGTTTAGAAGAAAACTAGATTTTTTTTTCTCCTCACTTTTAGAGATCTCTTGATTCTCAGGTGATCGACGATTTACTGATCTTTCGTGGATTGACCTTCAAATCTTTTCCCTTTCATATCAATCAATCAATCAACACTTTAAATCATAAATTTTAAATGTCCTTTAAAGTTTTATCGGAGTTAATTCCATAAAATCTATCTTCAAGAAGGAAAAACATAATGAATGAAATTAACATTTCGACAAGGAAGATAGATTGTTGGTTTATGTGTTCTTAGTTTATGATGTGATAAAGCTACTGATAATGTCAGCTGACTGGTTTGGAGTCAACTAATCGAGTCTTGTCTACTAATCGAAAGGTTAAGGCTTCGATTCTCGTAAGAAAATAGTTTCTAATCTCTCATTTATCTGGAGTTTTTTTTTTTTCATTCAATGATAGCAATGTTCTTCAAGAGAGCTCACTTCTGGTGCACTGGATTCAGCTCAGCCTAAGCCTAAGCCTAAGCCTAAGCCTGAGCCTGAGCCTGAGCCTGAGCCAAGCCTAAGCCTGAGCTTAAACCTAAGCCTAAGCTTGAGCCTCAGCTAAGCCTGGGCTAAGCCTGAGCCTAAGCCTGAGCCTGAGCCTGAGCCAAGCCTAAGCTTAAGCTTAAGCCTAAGCCT